GGGAATGCACATTCCGGGCAACAGGAACACCCAGTAGGAAGGCCTTAAGGTGGGAATGAGCTTGTCAAGTTTGAAGGAAAAAAGACCTCTGTGGCAGGGCCATGGCAGGCGGAGGGAGAGGGCTGAGAAATTTGGACAGAAAGGCAGGAACCAGGCTGTGTGGTGCTGGAGGTGCGGCCAGCAGGCAGGTCAACTATATTCTTAGATTAGCAGCGTGGTTTCCAGGAAGAAACTGACGTGATCTTGTGCAGGGATACCAGCCCATATCCAGCTGCAATTTCCTGGCTCCCCCCCCACCCAAACACCAGCTTCCCAGGCCTGCAGGTCTCTGTGACCACTCTCTGCTAAGCTCCTGTGACATGCAGCAGAGAGGCAGGGACTAAGTCAGTCATGCCAGGATACAATAAAACCTCAGGGTCACTAAAAGGCTGAGACGGATGAGACCACAGAGCCTGACTTTTGAGGACCTGAGCCCACGTTTAAACGATGCAACAGTTTTGGTGTCTGTGGAGAAATCAGAGGACAGCTTGCCTCCCTGCCGTCTTAGTTAAGCACATTACATATCAAGCTGAATAAAAACACCAAAGTACTTTTGCAACCTGAAATGGATCAAAGTGAGCAAGCACGCCCACTCTAACATCAGCACCTGCCACACCGAGAGCCAGGTTCTAGCCCGTGCTGAGGTCCCAGGGGAGTGGGTGCATGGGTGGCAGACAGCTGAAAGAACACTCGGGGGCATAGGCAGATGAAGATGGTTTTCTGCGGCAGCTCTCTTACGTTGTCTCTGTCTCGGCTGCCTGCTCCAGCTCTGCGGCTCCTGCAGCTGCATTCCCTGGCCTGCAAGGCCGGCTCTCTCTTACAGGGTCAGAAACTTCACTCTCTCTCTTTGGCCACGAGCCGTGTGCACAGCATCAGCAGGACAGTTACACCTCTTGCAAACAACAGTGGCTCTGAGCCAGGTGATGAACCTTCCCGCATTATGGCTACATAGCTGTGATTATCTAACGAGCAGAGTAGATGCCCTCCAGTCTATGTCAGTCCAGAAAGCGTAACATGTGAGGTCACTACTCTGGGTTTCTGGAGTGAGACACGGACTACGCCTTAAAGAGCTCAGCTTAGTGGGAGGCGGTTATGAAAACATATCCCTTCATGATGTGGAGCAATGCCTGGAGTGCTATGGAAACCCAGAGTTCTGGAATGTGTGTGTGTTTCAGGGGTTGGGGGGAGTGGTGGTATGTATGTCTACGCATGTCCAGCTAAGGAAGCCGGATGTGCTTCTACGGGCAGTGAAAGCTATTGAAGATTTTAAGCAGAAGAGATAAGACCAGATTTCCTTCTGACGATCACCAAGGGCGGTGTATGGGACAGATCAGACTGTGACACCAGAGGCAGGGAAATCCAGGAGGAAGGTTAATACAGTAGCCCAGGAAAAATAGGAGCAGTGGTAGAGGGCTACAAAAACAGAGCTCATAAATATGCAAAAGCCACAGGTTTCTGGTTTGGTGACTGGGTAGGGAAAACAGCAAGGAGAGCTGTCCACGGGGGCGGGGACGGGTCGGGAAAGTTCCACTAAATGACCTCAACGTTGGCAAAAGATGTCTCAAAATTGATCGAGAGCTGCCTTACTTGTTGGTTTACCTAGTGGTGACCTTTACAGAGAAGAAAATCAAGGAAGGAGGACTTTATTCTACCAGGAACAAACTACTGTTAAAGCAGAAAATGAGTGCAGAAAAACAAATTTCTCTTCTGTAGGGTGCGTAAAACTTCCCTGACTCCTCCCCCTCCCCGAGAAACTGTATCCTGTTCGCAAGTTTTGTAAGTTTAGAGATTCACGTATCCTTGCTCTCTATAGCTGATAAATGAAAGTTATTGTTTTTCACCTGAGCAACACAGGTCACTGTGACATGAGTTGGCAGGCCTGGATTGCAGTCACCCAGGCCCCATAGTGAAGCACGCAGGATAAGCCGTGCAAGGGAAAGACAGTGGCCATCTGCGCCACACAGCACAAGTCATACGTAAGCCTAAGTTGTAAACCTGTCATTTCTGATAAACCACCTTTGTTCTGCTCCTGCCTTTCACGTATAAAAGTCAAACTTGGGGCCGGGTGCGGTGGCGCACGCCTGTAATCCTAGCACTTTGGGAAGCCAAGGTGGGTGGATCACCTGAGGTCAGGAGTTCAAGAACAGCCTGGCCATCATGATGAAACCCCACCTTTAAAAAAAAAAAAAAAAAAAAAGTCAAGCTTGGTCTTAGTTCAGTGCTCAGTCTTTTGGATGTGAATCCACTGAGCTGGTGCACACCTTAATAAAATCCTCCTGTTCTACCCATCCGTTTCTCTGGTCTCTTGATTTCCCATGACACTATAACCTAGGGAACTACTTTGTTTTATTTTGTGTCTTTTATTTGGACAGCCAGATCTTCTGAGGTCAGGACTCCTGCAAAGGATCTTCAAAAGTTGGTTCTCTTTAACTCAGTTGCCAATGGGTCCTCTCTGAACACCACCTTCCTTTAGAGATGGACAGAGCTTTAGAGAATAACTAGCTTCTCTCTCTGTGACCTCTGAGCCCTGTTTGTGCTCTGTAACTGGAGAGCAAGCCCAATCCAGTTCGACGTTGTGTAATAAAATGGCGAGTTGTTTTTCAGCTGCCATGAACTCCCAGGTTGCAGGTCACATAACCTGAGCGTGCCCAGATGAACTAAGTGTGCCAGATTTGTAAACCCGGGGCCCAATAGGAACTAGAAAGTCAATACAGGCAGAACCAAAGCGTTCAGATCCAGAAACAGAGACTAAATTAAGAGGGAAGCCCTGAATTGCCTCACTGCAAGATCCAGTCAGATCCTGCCTCATTACCCTCTGCATATAAAAGCTGCCCCAGTCCCAGCTCCAGAGACAGATTTGAGCATTGCCTCCTGACTCCTAACCAGTCAGCTCACAATGATTCCTTTTCTCAAGAGCCAGTGCCATAGTATTGTCGAAGACCAAGCCTATTGCTCCGTAACATTGACTGCTGCAACATTTCACATTCCATAGTCATTGTCTTGTGTATCCTTCTGCCTCTATTGCCAGCCTGAAAGCTTCTCAAGGGCAGGGGCTTGTTTAGCTCTGCACTCTCAGCTTAGCCAAGGTCCCCACGCACGTCGGCAGCTTAGCAAGAGTCGTCATTCTTGGCCCTTTGGCTGCCCTAACCAGGCTAAATACCTTTGACCGGTGTTGGGGTTGAACGGTGTCCCTAAAGATATGTTGAGGTGCTAACGCCTGGCATCTGTGACCTTATTTGTTAATGGGGTTTTGCAGAGGTAATCAAGTTAAAACGAGGTCATGCTGGACTAGGGTTGTCTCTAATCCACTGTGAATGGTGCCCTTATTAGAAGAGAAAAAGAGGTTCAGAGAAACACCACCACGTAACCACGGAGGCAGAGACTGAAGTGCTGGAGGCACAGGTCAAGGAATGCCAATGACTGCTGGCAACCACACCAACTAGGAGAGAGGAATGGATTCTCAGAGCCTTCAGAACTATGAGAGAATACGTGTGTGCTGTTTTAAGCCACCGGGTTTATGGTAATTTGTTATGGAAGCCCTAGAAAACTAACTCGGACAGCCTAAAAAGCAATTACTGTATGTGATCAAACACTAAGGCGAGCAGCTGTGGCTGTGAGGATCTATCTCATTCACCTTGTACTTAATTCCACCGACATTTGGTCTGTGCTCTTCTCTCTAATAAACCACATGATCTGAGTTAGCTTTCACTTCTCTGACTCTAACAGAGATCCGTTAGGAATGGCAAAATCCCAGTTGAGGGATTCGTGTACACAAATAATTAAGAATATTGGAGGTTTTTGGATTTCACTAGAGATTCTGCAGACCAGCTGCTGATGATGTTGGACTAAATTGGCAGGATCCAACCTTCTCTGTTGCTCCTGGGGACATGTAGGTGCCAGGTGACCTTCAAACCTCCTGGGATAACATTACATGATTCTTATGAAACGTCATGGCTGTGCTCAGACTTAGGAAGGCACTGGCTGTAAGGCTCCCACTAAAAGCAAACCAGAACCCAAGCGGAGAAAAGTGAGCTTTCATACGAGGACTCATCTTGAACTTTCACAAACTTAGCCTCCCTGACTTTTACCAGTAATCATGTCTCGAGCGTCCCGTACGTAAAGAGACCACCAGGCAGGCTCTGTGTGGGCAACAAGGCCGTTCACTTCGCACTTGGGTGCAAGCCGGCCAAGTCCAAGAAAGGAGTTAGGCCAAGGGAGTAGGAGAGGGGATTGGTTATAAAGGTTGGGGCTAAAGGTGGTTATCTATCTTGGGGACGGGAAGGGCGTCAGGGGATGCAGGATCACAAGGGTAGGGGTCATTTATTACAAACAGGCATGATCATAACGATGGGGAGTATCGGTTGCAGTCCCCACCCTTATGATCATGCCTGTTTGTAATAAATGGGGAGAGGGCGGTAGATTACCTAGTTACAGGGGTGGGAGTCTTGAGAAACCCAGTGTCCCGGGGGAAATTTTTGCAAGGCTGAACAGGAACAATGGGTGCAGCTTAAAGAGCGATTCCTTGAGGCAGAAACAAGTTTTCACTTCTTTCTGTGGCCACGGGGTTACTTGTGGTTACTCCAGACTTCTCTGGCTCCTAGGGACCATCCAGAGGTGTACGTGCGGGTCACCAAGGCTAAGACGGCCAGGCTTGGACGTGGAGACCTAACCATCAGTCCTGAGGACAGTGGGTTCCAGACGCACCTGCTGGCTGTTTGAGTCTGTAAATATACCACCTCCAGAATTCTCTCAAAACGGTCCAGATCATGTTACTATCGGGCAGCAATGCGCCTAGGGTGGATCCCCAGGAAATAAAACAAACGTCAAACTCCTCACCCACAGACTCCGCAGCTGAACCCCCGCTGGGGAAACCAAAAGCAGGAAAGGAGGTCCCCTCCAGCCACGCCCATTTCCGGTCCCAGCGCCCCGCCCCATGACGTCAACGCACCGCGCCACAGGGCTGCGTCATCTCGGCGCGCCGCTGCCGGGACTCTACACTTGCCGGGTGCCATGGCGGAGGTGGGCCGGGCCGCGATCAGAGACCCAGGCGCGCTGCTCCCCCGGGGCTTCTGGGCTGCGGTGGAGGTGTGGCTGGAAAGGCCGCAGGTGGCCAACAAACGGCTGTGCGGCGCCCGCCTGGAAGCCCGCCGGAGCGCCGCCCTGCCCCGCGCCGAGGCCTGCTGCCCTGGGACGAGCTCAGGTCCGGAGCAGAAGGAGCGGGGTCCGGGACCCGGCCAGGGTTCCCCCGGAGGGGCCCCGGGCCCCAGGCCACCATCAGGACCCCAGCAGGGCACGGCGTGTTGCGAAAGTGAGGAGACCCAGGGCCGGTGCCAGCTAGAGGAGGCACAGAGGGAAGCCGCCTCCGCGCCCCTGCGAGACCCCGGGCACGCCGGCCATGCTGAAGGAGGGGAGGGCGACTTCCCCGCCGCGGATCTGGATTCGCTCTGGGACGATTTATCCCGAAGTCTCGCCCGTGGCAATTCGAAGCTGCTGGACTTCCTCACCTGCTCCAGGGCGGGATCGCAGCCAGAGGCGCAGCGTAAGCTCGACGTGGTTCTCAGAACCGTCATCCCGAAAACTAGCCCTCATTGCCCGATTACAGCTCCCAGGAGGGAAATGGTTGTGCAAGGTAAGAGTGTTATGATAGTAGACGGATACGATTAGATTAAAAAGCATTCACGGAACCGCGGGTCAATGAAAAGGTCCTAAGGGTACCTACCTGTGATGCCAGTTCCTCTGCGATGTCCTAGGGCGGTTGTTAGGCCTGTGTGTGTGTTGAGTGGGCGCGTAGAAATCTGTGTCATTAGTACAGAAGGTGGGATAATTGATTGGGGTGGTGTCTGGAAGGCTTCAGGGAGACAGTGAAGGACCAGCTGGTTATTGCATGATAACTAGGAGTTTAGCAGCAGATCCAGCTGTAGGTGTAAAGGGAGCTATTTATGCTGAGACAGGTAGCTGTGAAAGAGCATAGAGACTGGCCGGATGGGAACCTACTAGTTCTCAATATTTGTTAAATCTCTGGCATTTATTTTTACTGCCCGTGACGTTGACACTTTAGCCTCAGCCACTTCCCTCAAACTTTATTCAGCAGTCTGTGTTTTCTATTGCCACTGTAACAAATTACTGCAAATTTAATGGTCACAACACAAATTTAATTATTTCTTTCAATTCTGTAGGTCAGGAATCCTTGTTGAGGACATGCAGAGGTGGTATATTTACAGACTCAAACAGCCAGCAGGTGCGTCTGGAACCCACTGTCCTCAGGACTGATAGGTCTCCACGTCCAAGCCTGGCCGTCTTAGCCTGTTGGCTCTGCTGGTTTCTCTGCGTCTCTCTCACAAGGCCAAAATCAAAGAGCCTGTCATCTGGGCTCTTACCTGGAGGTTCTGGGAAGGAATCTGTTCCCAGGCTCGTTCGCCTTGTTGGTAGAATCCAATTTTTTATGTGGTCCTGGGGTCCTCTTTCCCTTGCTGGCTGTCAGTTCCTAGAGGCCTCTCTCTGGTTCTTTCATGCAGCTTCGGACATCTCAGAGCCTGCAGTGGGGTTGAATCATTCTCACGCTTAGAATCTCTCTGCCTTCCTCTCTTGCTGCTTCTCCTCTCTGCCTCCAGCTGGAGAAAATTCTCTGCTATTCATGACCCATGGAGTTAGACTGGGCCCACACTGGTAATCCAGAGCACTCCTCCGTTTTGAGATCTGTAACCATAATCATGTTTGCAAAGTGTCCCTTTTGCCACATAATACAGTGTATTCACAAGTCCTGGGTATTAGGGCATGGACACTTTTGAGAGGCTCTGGTGCCTACCTCAGGCAGCAATTCCTGGTAGGTACATAGTCCCCTCTGACAGCTCCCAGTACTGTCTGCCTCTGTGCCTTCGTAAGACTCTGGGTGTCCCTTCCTCCAGGGGATCCCTCTGACCCTGCCAGTCCAGTCTAGTTTAGGAGTTCTTCCAGCTCTTATCAGCTGCGTTCTAATCTTAACCATTTTACAGTGTGCATCCACTGGGCTGAGAGGCTCGGAGAAGCAGTGCCCACGAGGCCTTCATGTGTAGACTTAGCTGAAGAGAGGGGCAGGGCTGAGTTTTTCCTTTCTTCCTCTCGGGGAGGCAATGTTCCCTCTCAATAAGGAGTGCTTTTTCAGGATGGCTTTCTATATTCAGCTCCATCCAGGAAGGCTCACCAGAGGACTTACGTCCTCCATGGAGTATAGACAGCCTGGGTTTGAATTTCGGTCTTGCCAGTGATAAGCCGTATGGCTGTGGGCAGGTTTTAGAGCCTCTCTGTGTCTCAGTGTCTTCATTTGTAAAATAGGTTAATAATAAAATCTCTTAGAGTCGCCAGAAGAGTCACTTTCCTGGCCCTATTCTCGGTAAGCTTATGAAGGTCTTAAGAGTAACGTGGCTGTTCAAGACCAGCCTGGCCAACACGGTGAAACCCTGTCTCTACTAAAAATACAAAAATTAGCTGTAGTGGCGGGCACCTGTAATCCCACCTACTCAGGAGACTGACGCAGAAGGGGGCAGAGGTTACGGTGAGCTGAGATCGCACCACTGCATTCCAGTGGTAGAGCGAGACTCAACTCCCTCCCGCCGCCACAAAGAAAGAGTAGGCCGGGCGCGGTGGCTCAAGCCTGTAATCCCAGCACTTTGGGAGGCCGAGGCGGGTGGATCACGAGGTCAAGAGATCGAGACCATCCTGGTCAACATGGTGAAACCCCGTCTCTACTAAAAATACAAAAAATTAGCTGGGCATGGTGGCACATGCCTGTAATCCCAGCTACTCAGGAGGCTGAGGCAGGAGAATTGCCTGAACCCAGGAGGTGGAGGTTGTGGTGAGCCGAGATCGCGCCATTGCACTCCAGCCTGGGTAACAAGAGCGAAACTCCGTCTCAAAAAAAAAAAAAAAAAAAAAAAGAGTACTGTGACTAAGAAATCTTAAGTGTTCGTAGCAGGCAACAGGACAACACAGTGGTTAAGAACTTGACCTCTTTAGTCAAGCAACAGCGTTCAGTTTGAGGCTGTGTGGACTTGAGACAGATGACTTCATATTTTGAACGCCTGCTTTTCTCACCTAAAACAGAGGGTTCAATAGGGACACTGCACTCCATGATGTGATGAGTTCACATTGCATGCCTGTAGCAAAGCATTTCATGTACCCCATGCGTGTATACACCTGCTATGCACCCACAAAAATAAAAAATTAAAAATTAAAAAAATGGAAATGTGTCATTGTTCAGTGACAGCAGCCACAGTGGATTTGGGGTTGCAACACTGGTCAGAGAGGGCGGGATGCGGCCGGCATCTGGCGGGTTGGGCCAGGGCATCTGCCGAGCATCCTACAGCACACGGGACAACTCCCTGCAATCAGCAGCTATCCAGCCACAAATGCCAGTGACGCCGAGGCTGAGAAACCCTGATCTAGAGGGTGCTGAAAATAATACTGATGATAAAGTTGTGAGTTTTATTTTACTTTATTTATTTTTTGTATAAATAGGGTCTTACTATGTTGCTTAGTCTGGTCTCTAACTTCTGGCCTCAAGTGAGCCTCCCGCCTTGGCCTTCCAAAGTGCTGGGAGAACAGGCATCGGCCACCTGCCTGATCCTGTTGTGGCTTTCCAATGAGGTGATTCATGGAAAGAACGATGCATTGTGTCAGTCCTCTTCTCTCTGGTCTCACTCACAGTAACAGCTGTACTTTTGTGAACTGCAATGCCCTGTGTGACCTGGGTGGGCCCTGTTTCCCTTTGGTTTCACCTCCTACCGCTTGTCACCTTGTCCACAGCACTCACCTCCATCCCCCACGCACCTGAGCACCCTCCTGCCCCAGGGCCTTTGCAGTTGCTGCTCCTGTGTCTGAAACACTTCTTCCAGGTGCCCCGTGGCACACTCCCTGACCTCCTTGGGCTCTCTGCTCAGACGTCCCGTGATTAGGGAGGCCTTCCCTGGCCGCTCTGGATTCCACAGCTGACTGGAGTTTCCTTGCCCCGACACTGCTTGCGCCCGGTCTGAATCCACCCAGCCCCTTCAGCTCCGCTCCGGCAGGCCTTGCTCTTTCACCTGCTGTGGAAGGGGAGCCACACAGCTGTGCGTACTTAGCTTGTGAAGCATCTATTCCTCTGTAACTGAGATTTTGCTGTTTTGTTTTGTTCTGTTTTTTAAATATCAAAGGTAAACACGATTGATTTTAGAGCTAGAACTTTATATAGCCAAACTGTAAGTATCCACAGAAACTGATAGAATACTGTACATTTAGCTTAGGAATAGGCCACTCTGCTTATGTTTTGATGGGAAGGTGAGTGGGAAGTCCCGCCATGCGGTGAGGACTCCACTCAGCATAAAGCCGTTGTTGGGCCGGGCGCGGTGGCTCAAGCCTGTAATCCCAGCACTTTGGGAGGCCGAGGCGGGTGGATCACGAGGTCGAGAGATCGAGACCATCCTGGTGAACATGGTGAAACCCCGTCTCTACTAAAAATGCAAAAAAAAAATTAGCTGGGCATGGTGGCGCGTGCCTGTAATCCCAGCTACTCAGGAGGCTGAGGCAGGAGAATTGCCTGAACCCAGGAGGCAGAGGTTGCGGTGAGCCGAGATCGCGCCATTGCACTCCAGCCTGGGTAAAAAGAGCGAAACTCCGTCTCAAAAAAAAAAAAAAAAAAAAAGCCATTGTTAGGAAGGCCTGGAATGGGCTGGGCATGGTGGCTCACACTTGTAATCCAAGCACTTTGGAGGCCAAGGCAGGCGGATCACCTGAGGTCAGGAGTTCAAGACCAGCCTGACCAACATGGTGAAATCCTGTCTTTATTAAAGGAAAAAAAAAAAAAGGAAGGCCTGGAATGATGTCACTTTCCTGAACTGGCCTCTGATGGTGGAGCAGAGTTCTGTGCCTTGCTCACATCTGAAGGTCATGGCCAGGCTGTGGCAGACACTCAGCTAGGGCAGAGGTCCCCTGTTCTCTCTGATGTAGCTCTCAGGTTCCGGTGGAGTCCACGTCGGCTGGCCCTTTCCTCAGGTCCTGGCTCATGCTGGCAGATGCTGCAGAGAATGGCTGCTGTGTGCCTGGCACATTCTCGGCTCTGGGCTGTAGCCGTGAATGAAAGGCAGAAGCTCCTCTCCTGGAATGCCGTCCGGAATAGAGTGCAGGGAGAGCGCTGCGGGACTGAATGCGTCCTGCTCGACCCCTCCCTGTTCGTAGTCCCGCTTCTGATGAGATGGTAGCTGGGCAGTTGTAGTTTGTCATTCTTTTCTTTTTCTTTCCAGATGTCCTCAGTGGATCTGTAACGTTCTTGCCTTTGGAAGAAGATGATAAGGGGAACTTAAAGGTTAAGATGAGCAACGTGTATCAGATTCAGCTGAGTCACAGCAGAGAAGAGTGGTAAGAGCTGGGCGGTGGACCCTGGTGCGACGGTTTCCATTAGGTGGCTCAAGGACTCTGGGTTGCCAGAGGGCTTAAGGTCCTGTCCCTGAGGTGGTTGCGGTTATGAGGAATGCATTGCCAGCTCGTGTGCCCATGCCAGGTTGCTCTTCCTGTTGGCGCCTGGCCTGGAGGTCGGGTGGTCACAGCCTGGCTGGGGTCTCTGGTCTCTACCTTCCCTGTGGCTGTGATGGTTCAGCAGCCCTCAGTGTTAGCTCTGAAGTCAAGTTAACTCAAATGCCTGTATTGTTATTGTTATTATTACTATTACTATTATTACTGAGTCTTGCTGTGTCGCCCAGGCTGGAGTGCAGTGGCGCCACGTCGTTTCACTACAACCTCTACCTCCTGCATCCAAGTGATTCTCGTGCCTGTCTCCCAAGTAGCTGGAACTACAGGCACCCACCACCACACTCAGTTACTTTTTGTATTTTTAGTAGAGACAGGGTTTTACCCTGTTGGCCAGGCTGGTCTCAAGCTCCTGGCCTCAAGTGATCCACCTGCCTTGGCCTCCCAAAGTGCTGGGATTACAGGCATGAGCCACCATGCCCAGTCTATTTTGTTATTTTTTATGACTTAGTAATGGGGAATAAATAGATGATGCTTCTTTCTGCAGCGAGTCAGTGATGCTTATTATAAAGTAGCAGTTTAATAAGCACCCTTAATTCCGTATATTTGGGTCTGTACAAAAAGTATGAGATTTAATTCACACCAGGTTGTTTTTTTTTTTTTTTTTTTTTTTTTGAGACAGAGTTTTTGCCCTTGTTACCCAGGCTGGAGTGTAGTGGTGCGATCTTGGCTCACCACAACCTCCGCCCCCCTGGGTTCAAGCGATTCTCCTGCCTCAGCCACCTGAGTAGCTGTAACTACAGGCTACACCATCACACCCAGGTAATTTTGTATTTTTAATAGAGACAGGGTTTCTCCGTGCTGGTCAGGCTGGTCTCGAACTCCCAACCTCAGGTAATCCGCCTGTGTTGGCCTCCCAAAGTGCTGGGATTACAGGTATGAGCCACCACGCCTGGCCCCATTTGGTATTTTTAAAATGAAAAAGTCAGAGGAGGAGTGAATTCATTCATTACTCATCAGCTGATATTTTCCTGAGCGCCGCTTCCAACCTGTACTTTCTGAAACAGTCTTGGGGCTAACATCTGAGTAATGGAATGGGTTTGCCTGGGCTTCCTAGAAAGCAGAGGGGTGTGGCGAGAAGAGCGTGGGTTTCCCACCAGCAGTGTGGCCTTGGGTACGTTCTCTGCCTCCTGGCCTTCCGTCTGCTCACCTCGAAATGGGTTGAATCATTCCTGAGCCTCTGAGGAGGTGGCAGGGCTGGGCCTCACCTGGACCTTTGCAGCTTCCGAGCTTGAAAGCAATGTCAGGCCCTGTACCACAAAGCCCTTTGAGAACCTCCCAGAGGTTGCCCCGAGTTGTCGGGGGATCCTGCCCCAATGTCCCTTCCTGCCAGCACGTGTTTGTTGGAGAGTGAGGGGTGAGAGCAGGCACCAGGAGAAACCAGGCTTCCCTGTGCCAGGCGCCTCTGTGGTCCTTTACCATCTCGTTAGCTATTTAGTACTGTCCAAAAGGTACTTTGTGTTTTTCCAGCTTTTGAAGTTGTTTCCAGTGAGAGGGTTCATCTGGATTGTCTAAGGCACTGTGGCTGGAAATAGAAATTTCAACTTTTTTTTTTTTTTTTTAAGATGGGGGTTTCACCATGATGGCCAGGCTGGTCTTGAACTCCTGACCTCAGGTGATCCACCCACCTTGGCCTCCCAAAGTGCAAAGGATTACAGATGTGAGCCACCGCTCCCGGCCAGAAATTTCAACTTTTAACATTGGCCATTGGTTTTTCCTCTTTTGCCAAATGCCAGTTCTGAACGTGACTGATTTGGCCATTATCCCTGCGCGGGGGTCATGCTGCTGCCGTGCCGTCAGCGCGCCTGTTGGGCTCTTCAGCTCTGCCCCGCTCACCCAGCGGCTGCGTTCTGCTTGTTCTTAGCAACGTCTGTTGAATGTCACTTTTATCGTAGCTTTCTCTCATTGACCCAGCAAACTGAACGCCCCCCCTTCCTGTGCTGCCCCAGTTGCAGCCCTGGACAGCGTATTTTATCGGGGTGCGCGTCTGTCCCGCCAGTTCCCCCAAGGATTTTGAGCTTTTAGTCCTTCACTGAATTCATCCCTAAACAGTGCCTGCTGTGTGTCAGCACTGCTGGGGCCTGGGGGTGGAGCAGCCAGTCAGACGGGCAGGAGCCTCGCCCTCAGGGCCTTCTGATGGCAGAAGACGTGGGGAAGACAAAGCCAGCAAAATGCGGGGCGGCCCTTATCTCTGGCTGAGTACTTCGCCTTCTGGCAGGTAGCTAGTTGGTGAGCCGGTATACTCATTTGAGTTGCACGTGTGGAAATGTGTAAAGAATAGGAACGTCAGGAAATCCTTGGACACTTAGAATCTGGCCCCTTGTGCATGAGGCAGAAGGAGAGAGTGCTTTATTTGTCTGGCTGTGGACTTCACAGTTGTGTCAATATGTTCTTAACAAAGTTTGCAGGGAAAGACGGATCGATCCTTTGTGCTTTTTCATTATTCTCCTCTAGTAGATGAAAATTCTGTAAAACGTTCTAGTTGGTTTCATGTTTTTGGTACTATTTTATAATAGCTTCTGTTCTCTCGGTAAATAAATGGATAATTTTAAAATAAGAACTGAACATGTCTGTGCTTATTCATATTTCTCTTATTTTTAAAGGTTCATATCTGTTTTAATTTTCTGTCCAGAAAGATGGCATTCAGATGGAATTATATATCCCAAACCCATGTGGCTTGGAGAACAGCTGCCGGCCAAGTTGGCCAGGTGGTGTGTACAGAACAGGAAGAGTGGCTTTAAGAGCACCCTTTCCCTCGTCTCCATCATGAAGTACAGCAAGGCTTACCAGGAACTTAAGGAGAAGTATAAGGAAATGGTTAAGGTAATTCTGCTGAGGAATAGCTACAATTATTTCCCCCTGCATGGTTTTTTTTTTTTTTTGGTGACGGTCTCACTCTGTCACCCAAAAGAAAGGGCTGGAGTGAAGTGGCACGATCTCAGCTCACTGCAGCCTTCATGTCCTGGTTTCAAGCGATTCAGCTTCAGCCTTTCCAGTAGCTAGGACTACAGGCACACACCACCATGCCTGGCTAGTTTTTTGTATTTTTAGTAGAGATGAGGTTTCACCATGTTGCCCAGACTGGTCCCGAACTCCTGGGCGTGGGCAATCCTCCTGTCTTGGCCTCCCAAAGTGCTAGGATTAGAGGTGTGAGCCACTGCATCCGGCACGCCCTTCATTTAAATGAGGTAAAATAATCAAACTCTGCCAGGTGAAATTGTTCTTCCTGTTGCAGGCTGTGCTTTGACATACGTAGGGGTGCAAATGACAAAAACATAGGCAGATATATAATGGAAAAGGATTGATCTTTACTTGTCTATTATTTGTTTTCAAGAGACCTAAACGGAGATTTTTTTTTTTTTTTTTTTGAGATGGAGTTTCACTCTTGTTACCCAGGCTGGAGTGCAATGGCGCAATCTCGGCTCACCGCAACCTCCGCCTCCTGGGTTCAGGCAATTCTCCTGCCTCAGCCTCCTGAGTAGCTGGGATTACAGGCACGCGCCACCATGCCCAGCTGATTTTTTGTATTTTTAGTAGAGACGGGGTTTCACCATGTTGACCAGGATGGTCTCGATCTCTCGACCTCGTGATCCACCCGCCTCGGCCTCCCAAAGTGCTGGGATGACAGGCTTGAGCCACCGCGCCCGGCCTTAAAGGGAGCTATTTAATGGAAAAGTAAGGGAACCTTGAAAAAAAAATGGCTAAATTACCATAATTCTTTGTATAAACTTGAAGATATTTTAAGAAAATATATGAAAAATTAAAGTACAAAAGAGCAGTTCCAACAAGGAGATAATTTCCAGATAACACATGCTTAAACTTTCTAAGATGTAGAAACAGTGTAATAAGAAAGGTCGGTGTGTTTATACCCAGCTTAAGGCGGAAAGAGTCAAAGTTTTTTCTCTTCCTAGTTCCCGTCTTCCTCTCCCTCCTAGGAGTAACCACAATTTGTCATTTCTATGTTTTAGTTTTTTTTTTTTTTTTTTTTTTTGAGACAGGGTCTCACTCTGTCACCTAGGCTGGAGTGCAGGAGAGTGATCTCGGCTCACTGCAGACTCAACCTCCCGGGCTCAAGCCATCCTCCCAGCTCAGCCTCCCTAGTAGCTGGGACCACAGGCACGTGCTACCATGCCTGGCTCATTTTTTGTAGAGGGGAAGTTTTGTCATGTTTCCCAGGCTGTTCTCAAACAATTAGGCTCAAAGGATCTGCCCACTTTGGCCTCCCAAAGTGCTGGGATTACAGGTGTGAGCCACTGTGCCTGGCCTCCATGTGTTTTGTTGTTGTTGTTGTTGTTGTTGTTGTTGTTGTTGTTGTGACGGGAGTCTCGATCTTGTTACCCAGGCTGGAGCGCAATGGCGCGATCTCGGCTCACCGAAACCTCCACCTCCTGGGTTCAGGCAATTCTCCTGCCTCAGCCTCCCTCCCGAGTAGCCGAGTAGCTGGGACTACAGGCGTGCGCCACCATGCCCAGCTAATTTTTGTATTTTTAGTAGAGATGGGCTTTCACCATGTTGACCAGGATGGTCTCAACCTCTTGGCCTCGTGATCCACCCGCCTCGGCCTCCCAAGGTGCTGGGATTACAGGGAGTGAGCCACTGCGCCAGGCCCCATGTGTTTTTTTAACCAGTCACCTCTTGCTCTGTAACAAAAGCACCTCCAGAGTCCCAGGTTTAAAGCTGTAGCCTTTCATTATTGCTGAAGCACCTGAGGGTCCCAGGGGTTGGCTGACTGAGGCTGCGTTCGCTCCCACATCCTGACCTCGTGGTCCTTTACCATCTTGTTAGCTGTTCAGTACTGTCCAGAAGGTACTTTTTATGTTTCTCCAGCTTTTGGAATTGTGTCCAGTAAGAGGGTTCGTCTGGGTTATCTAAGGCACTGTGGCTGGAAGTAGAAATTTCAGCTTTTACCACTGGCCGTTGGTTTTCCTCCTTTGCCAATGCCAGTTCTGAACGTGACTAATTTTAATAACGAGAGTTCATCTTTGCCCAGCTAGTGCTTTACAGTTTTGAGGGCAGCTTGATGATCCTGCCTGTTAGCTGAGGCTTGGACTTCATCCCGGTTTGACAGGTGGGGCGATGGCAGCCACGGACGGACCATGGGCTGGAGCGCTGGTCTCCTAGTCTGCGGCTTGCGGCTCTCGCTGCTCCACGTGCTGGCCCTGGTTTCCCTGTCCATTGCCCTTACCTGCGTAAACAGTGAGCACAGTGTAGCTGTGTTCCCTCTGCGTCCGCTGGCTCAGCTAAATATCTGGTGCACGCTCCGTTGATTGTGAAATCTGGCTTTGGATGCATTGTTCTTGGCAGGCCCTGTTTCTTTATGTAAATCATTCATTGTAAGAAACCAGTTGTGAATTCCTGCCCTTGAGCTTATATTTTTTATTTTAGTGCACAATTAGTTCAGTTGATTTACGCTTTATGGGGATACTTACGTATTAGGAAATGGTGGTGGGGAAACTGAACCATTTACATTTGCGCTTGAAACTGTCTTAGGTGTGGCCTGAAGTAACTGATCCTGAGAAGTTTGTGTATGAAGACGTAGCTATTGCAGCGTACCTGCTGGTAAGAGCGTGCATGATCCCAGCGTGTCTGTGCGGGGGGCGGGGTGGGGGCGGTGAAGGTTGCTGCAGGCAGATGCTACCCGTAGGGAAGGGCAGTTTCCAAATCCATGACTTCCAGTGCTCACAGTTCTGCTGGCCAGGGTTGGTTACACATGTCATGGTTTGACGTCATGGGGTCCTTCTGATGCGTGTAGGAACAAGTTTGGATTGAAGCTTGACCTCAGGTTCAAACTTGACCTGCAGGCGGAACTGTCAGTCCACTGTCAGCAGCCATTGCGCTGGAAGCACTGGGGAGCACATGGCCTGGGGCCTTCCAGCCCTTTCCTCCGCTGGCGTGCTGGCTAGCTACATTTGGGCATGCCCTCTGATTTTATAGTCTTGGTTTTATTATCTATAAGAATGTTTAGAGTAGGCTGGGCACGGTGGCTCAAGCCTATAATCCCAGCACTTTGGGAGGTCGAGGCCAGTGGATCACTTGAGATCAGAAGTTTGAGGCCAGCCTGACTAACATGGTGAAACATTGTCTCTACTAAAAATACAAAATGAGCCAGGTGTGGTGTTACGTGCCTGTACTTCCAGCTACTCGGGAGGCTGAGGCAGGAGAATTGCTTGAACCTGGGAAGCAGAGGTTGCAATGAGCTGAGATCGCACTATTGTACTCCAGCTTGGGCAACCGGGCAAGATTCCGTCTCAGATAAAAGAAGAATGTTTAGAGTAGATAATTTCCACTTTCCTTTCAACTCAGAGTTTTCTCTGACCGCTTTGTGTCGGAATTATTCCTGCGTAGAGTGAGTTACCACCTGACTTTGTTTTGTTTTTCTCTTCACTTAGGTTCTATGGGAAGAAGAAAGGGCTGCGCGGGGACTCACTGCCAGGCAGTCCTTTGTTGACCTGGGCTGCGGAAACGGCCTCCTGGTCCACATCCTGAGCAGCGAGGGGGTGAGGCCCAGCTCCGTGACCTTTTCTGGTACCTCGTCCAGAGTTTCTTCAAGTTAGACACAGGGTTCATGGACATCTTTTTCTGCTGGTACTGTCTGTATTTGGAGTCAGCTGGCTATTAGAGTAGGCAGGCACTTATAAACTTCTGTTAATTTGATAAACAAACAGCTCACAAAACAAGGGAAAAGTGGTGATCTTACTAGACCTACGAGGAAGGCCCCAGACCCCAGCGTGGGCCTATAAAATGACAGGCTTTCAGTAGCATGGATGTTTTTTACTGGCAGATTTTTCTCATGAAACCCACCGTCCCAAGGTGCTGGAAGGAGATAAAAAAGCAAGGCAGGTTCTGCACTTGAGAAGCTTCAGGCCAGGCGCGGGGCTCATGCCTGCAATCCCAGCACTTGGGAGGCTGAGGCGGGGGGGTCACTTGAGCCCAGGAGTTTGAGGCCAGCCTGGGCAACATAGTGAAACCCCATCTCTACAAAAAATTAAAAACAAATAAGAGAAGATTCAGTTCTGGCCCAAAAGACTCTGGCCTGGCGGGGTACTAGTTTCTGCATCCATTTTCTGCATGTTCGGCTGATGCAGGAAAAGCAGTCTCGGGCTGAGAGCGGCACCTGCCCAGGGAGCGAGGTCAGTAAGGGGCGAGTCAGCTCTCGGTGTCTTGTGCCTGGAGCTTCCTGCCAGCGACTCATACCCCTGCCCCTGCATCCGGTGCAGCAGGCGCCGTTACCCTGTGAGACAGTGGCGAGCTTAGCCACTTCCTGCTGGGGGGCAGCAGCTGGAGTCCGCACCGAGTCCTGGTGGTGCCAAGCTGATCTTCCTGCTGTACTGGACAGCATTGTACTGGTGGGCTGCACAGACTTGTCTACACCCGGAAGAGCTTGGAATGGTTGTTAAATGCCCTTTTTCAAGTGTGCTATTAAAGAGCAAGTTTCTAATCATAGTACCTGGAAGCTGGTTGTGGGGATGGTAGTGTGTCAGGCGGCAGCTTGGCAGCTGGTACCTGAGACAGCTGGGAGGTGTCTGTGCACCCCTCCTCTTCTGCAGGCTTGGAATAAACAAGTGTGCCCTCTGAGAGTTAATGAGTGGGGCAGGGGGCAAGGAGAGCAAGCAGCCGAGCTTGACGGAGAGCAGGGAATTGGCCTGTGTTCTCAGCTGCGCTCCCTGGGGCACTGGCCCTGGACATGTTCCCATGCTAAAGGCCGCTGTGGTCACTCAGCTCCATGTCCCCGCTTGAAGACTTATAATGGCCATCAGCGGCGTATACCTTCTTACCTGCCTTGCGGGGGTGTGGGTGTCTATTTCAGACAGCTGAGAAGTCACGCTTGTGCCACCCATGAATGCCAAGGGCCGTTTCTCTTGCATTTCATACTGGGGCTGGTGCCTGCAGAGCTTTCGTGTGTTCTTGCTAATTTATTATGAAGTACTATACTTAACCTTTGATTTCTAAATTTAACTTTTTCAGCATCCAGGCAGAGGGATTGATGTCCGAAGAAGAAAAATCTGGGACATGTATGGACCGCAGGCTCGGTTAGAGGTACTGTCTTTATGATGCATGCCCTTGATCTCAGCATGGCTTAGCCCCAGTGGGATTCGTTGTCGTGAACGTGTCTCTTTGTATAGGTCAAGCAGACATGCTGACGGTAAGCCTTCACATTCATCTAAGCGCTCTGAAATTAGAGAAGAGAAAAAGAAAGATAGAACTAGACTTCCCAAGCCTCTGGTTAAGCTGACTGAAGGGCACTGGCCTCCAGGCAGGAGTGCTGGCTCTCCCAGAGTCTGTCAGTGCCATCTGCATCTTGTCTGGAGTGCTCCCATGCTGCCTCGAGGCAGGGGCCGTGCCCAGGGCACTTTGGGAAGTCTTCTCCAAGGCCTCCCAGAGGCTGCTTGTTCATTCAGCAGGCGACGAGTACCCTGCCTGCCAGGACTCCGCCAGGGATGGGGACACCTGCAGATGAGCCACAAAGGGCGGAGGCTGTGCCAGGGCCGGGACAGAAGGTGTAGAGGGCTGTGGGGACGCAGAGGAAGGGCTGGATTCCCCTTGGGGCCTCTAAGAAGGCTTCTTGGAGCACCCCCGTGAGCAGTGGAGGCAGCCAGGTGCGCAGCATGGAAGCGAGGTGCTCCTGGCGGGCTCATCTCTGGGCACACAGATGATGTGAGGGCAGACTGTGTGGTCCCACGTCATTTCTCTCCTGTCTTTGGGCCAGTCCTCTCTATTCTTCACATTTGTCTTCTCTAGGACTTGGACAGTCTCACTTTTCTTAATGCCCCTACCCAGAGATAGTTATCACCTTTAATTTAGGGAAATAAGTATGTACCCATTTACAGTTCAAGAAAATCCCTTTGTGACCATGGTGTATGCAGAGCTTTGACCCTGGCTGCTTCTGCTCCTTTAACCTCCCATCCTAGGCACTACCTGAAGCCTTTGACGGTCATTTGTAAGCATGTTTTTAGTGGCTGAATAATGGGCCATTTAATTGTAGGTAACAGCAACATAAACAATACAGCTGACCCTTGAACAACATGGCGTTGAACTTTGTGGGTCCACTTTTATGCAGATTTTTTTCAATAAATACATTGGACAATTTTTGGGAAATTTGCAACACCTTGAAAAAACTTCAGATGAAATGCGTAGCCTAGAAATACTGAAACAAATCGGAAAAACTTAGATATGTCATGAATTCATTAAATATACGTACATAATGGTCTGTGTTACTGTTTACTACCCTGACTGTGCAAATCTATTATAAAAAGCTAAAATCTATCAAAACTTAGAGCCAGACTATATGTGGTGTCATGCCCTGTCAAGAGAAATGCAGATGTAAAGATGCAATAGGAAGTCATGATTGCGTGCAACTAACTGTCGCACATACTACGCACTGTCAGGATTTCCCAGTTGCCGCCTGCGGCTGCTGCAGTGAACCCAAGTGTTGGAAGCGTCCATTTAAAATGCCGCCCGGCGCTGCGCGCTCCGCAGCAGCAGCTCGTTCCTCCCACCGGTTGCACAGCCCAGTGACCGTGATCGCTGGTGATTGTCAGTGTGTTTGGTGCAATACTGTGAACCTCGAGACGCACTGTGGGACCCATACACAATGCCACTAGTGATGCTGGAAGTGCTCCCAAGAAGCAGAGGAGAGTCACGGCATCGCAAGGAAAGGCTGAATTCCTCGATGTGTAGTATAGATTTAGGTCTGCAGCTCCACTTACCCACCATTTCAGGATAAATGAATCCCGTGTAAGGACTGCTGTAAAAAGAAGAAAGAGAGAGAAGGAAAGAAATGTGTGAAACTGTCACTGCAGCTACACCAGCAGGCATGAAAACCTTGCACTTTTTGCAGGGTAACTTTTTATCTCATATTGAGAGTGCAGCTTTTATGTGGTGGCAAGATTGCTGCAAGAGAAGCATACATACAGACTCTAATATGATGTGAGAAAAAGCAGTCATTATACGATAAAGCAGAAGGAAGTGAAGGTTCTAAAGCTGCAGAACTTAATGCCAGCAAAAGATGACTTGACCGTTTTAGAAAGTGATTTGGGTTTAGGAAATGCTGGGATAACAGGAGGCGTAGCTTCAGCTGACCAAGAGGCAGCAGCTGAGTTCCTCGGTGCCATTAAGAAAATCATCACCGAGAGGCCACGTGTGCTGGCTCACACCTACAGTCAGCACTTTCAGAGCCTCAGACTGGAGGATCGCTGGAGGCCGGGAGTTCAAGACCAGCCTGGGCAACATAGCAAGACCGCCCCCCTCCACCACCGCATCGCTACAAAAAATAAAACATTATAAAAAGAAAATTATCAAAGGGAGACGTGTCTGCTTAAACAGGTTTTTAATGCAGATGAAAGTGCCCTATTGTGGAAAAAAATGCCATAAGGAAGAGAAGCCCCAGAATTTAAGGCAGGAAGGGACAGGCTAAGTCTGTTGTTCTGAGCGAATGCAGTCAGGTTTCAGATCAGGACTGCCCTTATCTGTAAAGCTGCTAAGCCCCAAATCCTGAAGGGAAAAGAGAAACGCCAGCTGCCAGTTGCTTGATTGTATAAGGCCTGGGCAGTTAAGAACTCTATTGTGGGTTCATCAAGGCTTTGTCTCTGAAGTCGGGAAGTACCTGGCCAGTGAGGGACTACCTTTTAAAGTTCTACGGATATTGGACAATGCCCCTGGCCACCCGGAACCTCTTAACACCAGCGGTGTTGACGTGGTCTGCTTGACCCCAAAGATAGCATCTTTTCAGCCTCTAGATCAGAGAGCTATGAGGACCTTTAAGCCTCATTATGCACAGTGTTCAGTGGAAAGGACTGGATACTGTGGAAGAGAACTCTGAGAGAGAGAACATCTTGAAAATCTGCAAGGATTTTACTATTGAAGACCCCATCATTGCTACAGAAAAGACCATGAGAGCCACCGAGCCTCAAACAAATTCCTGCCAGAGAAAATGGTGTCCAGGTGCTGTGCCTGACTTCACAGAATGTACGACAGAGCCAGTCAAGGAAATCATGAGAGAGATTGTGGATTTGGCAAACCAAGGTGGGAGGCAAAGGGTGCAGGATGCGGTCCTGAGAAATTCAAAAGCTAATAGTCACCACTCCAGAGGAAGGAACTACGGACCTGATGGAGATGAGTGCTTCCAAGCCAGTGCCAGCTGATGAGGAAGAAGATGTAAAAGAGGCGACGCCAGAGAGCACGTTGACATCCGACAGTGTGGCAGAAGGTCCTGATTATTCAAAACTTCATTTGACTTCTATGACATAGACTCTGCTGTGATGTGCACTGAAACTAAAGGAAATGGAAGAATGATCGGTACTGATAGAAACATTTTTAGAGAAGCTACTAAAAAGTAAAGCAGACAGGAGTTACAGTGTACTTCCTGAGGTGACACGGAATGTGCCTGTCCTCTGCCTGCCCTTCCACCTCCTCCACGTCTTCCACACCTGAGGCAGCAAGACCAGTCCCTTCTCTTCCTCCTTCTCAGCCTGCTCTGTGTCAAGAGGACAGGGATGAAGACCTTTGTGATGGTCAGTCCTCTTCCACTCAGTGACTAGTAAATAGATTTTCTCTTCCTCATGATTTTCTTTCTTTTGAGAAAGTCTCGCTCTGTCACCCAGGCTGGGGTGCAGTGATGTGCTGCAGGTTCACTGCAACCTCTGCCTTCCAGGTTCCAGCAGTTCAGCCTCCCAAGTGGCTAGGATTATAGGAACTCACCACCATGCCCAGCTAATTTTTGTATTTTTGGTAGATAAGGGGTTTCACCATGTTAGCCAGGCTGGTCTCGAACTCCTGACCTCAAGTGATCCACCCATCTTGGCCTCCCAAAGTGCTGGGATTACAGGCATGAGCCACTGCACCCAGCCACAATTTTCTTAATAACATTTTCTCTAGCTTTATTTTAAGATTATAGTATATAATACACAAAATGTGTTTCAATCGACTTTTATGTTTATATTATGGATAAGTCTTCTGGTCAGCAATAGGCTAACAGTAGTCAGTTTTTGGGGAGTCAAAAGTTATACATGGGCCAGGTGCAATGACTTACACCTGTAATTCTAGGTCTTTGGGAGGTCAAGGCATGAGGATCGCTTGAGGTCAGGAGTTTGAGACCAGCCAGGGCAACATGGCCAAACCCCGTCTCTACTAACAACAACAACAAAATAATTAGCTGGACGTGGTGGCTGCAGTGAGCCGAGATTGTGCCACTGCACACCAGCCTGGGCGATGCAAGGGAGACTCTGTCTCTAAAAGTTATGCGCAGATTCTTAACTCGTGTGGAGGTTCAATACCCCTTAACCCCCAGATTCTTCAAGGGCCAGGTGTATAGTAATAAAAACTGACAGTCATCCAGTGCTGTGTGGGGATGCCTTTCTAAAGGTAAATGTATTGTATGTACAGTGACTTACTGTCATCCTCACAACAGCACTGGGAGGTTAATTCTCTCATTCCCATTTTACAGGCGAGCAAACCGAGGTACACTTGTGGAGGTTAGGTCAGCTGTGTGTATGGCAAGCGGTGAGGGCAGAATTATTTACTCAGCTCTTCTGTTCTTGACCGTCTGTTTTCAGATTATAAATTACACTACATAAATCTGTGTGTATAAATCGTCATCCACTTAAAAAATATTTTTCACAGGCTGGACTTTAAAGGTTTTCAATACATATTGCCATAATGTTTTTCGAAAAGGTCCTGCCTCAGATACACTTCCATTTCAGAAAGCTGAGTACTACGAGAGATGCGTTCAATAGGAGAAAGAAGAGCTGCACAGATTTAGCAGGTGTTTGGGTGCCCACTCCCAGCAAGGCACTCTCAGGTGCTGACGATTCAACAGTGACAAGAGCCCCTGCCTTTATGGTCCTGGGAGGGGGTGGGGGACAGACAACCCGCAGACACACAGCCAGTTCGTGCAGCAGGTTCAGGGTGGTGGGAGGTGCTGAGGAGGAGGCCAGGGGTGTTGTGGGATGACCACCAGTGGAGAAGAAAACAGAACAGAGGCTGGGCTGGGGTGGGCTACAGACATGCAGATACCTGGGGGTCTGGGCCTGACAGCACATCTGTTTGGAGCTGTCAGCCAGCCCTGGTCCCTAGAAGCACGTGACCATGGGGTCAAAGTGCACTCAAAGTCAGAATTTGGTCAAGAGTAGCTTGCTTCTCCTGGTACTAAGGACCAGAGAAATGACCCTGTAACGGGAAAAAAGTCATGGGTCACTTCAGGAGCAGTCCTAGGACAGGTTATAGTGGCTCTGTAGGCGTGGCCTCGCTTCCTCTGGGCGGTGTGGGCGTGGCCTCTCTGGGTAGCTCTGGGAGCCTGTTTGTCCTTCCTCCTAAACCCCTGCTGGTGCCTAGCTGCCGGCATTGCCTTAAGGTCCCGGCCACATAGTTACACACTTGGGTATGACTAGGTCACGGGTCCTTATGTGCCAGAGGACAGAATGTTGGTTTATGAAATAAAAAACAACATTGACTTTTCATTATGGAGAATATCAGGAATATACGGAAGCAGAGAGGAACCAGCCAGCTACAAGGGTTATTCTTTTCTCTCACCGTGCTGACCCTCAGACAGCCCCCACTGTTACTTTGAAACAAATCTCAGGTGTATTGCGGAGCTTATAGCTTGCAATGAGGCGGAGACCGAAGTACTCAGAGAATTCCAGCTGAGCGGGGCTAGGGGGTAGCTCTTCTGAGAGAGTCACCCCCAGCATCCGCCCGCCAAGTATTTATCAAAAGGGCTTGTGTTAACTACAAACATGCACCAGATGGCCCTTTGCGGTGGGTTGCTGAGGTGCCTGTGACCTTGTACACACTCAAACTGCGTTCTCAGGAGGCTATTTTCAGCGGTCCTTATCACACCATCACACATTCTCCTCCCCTGTCCTGTTTTCAGGGTCACGGAGTTTCATGCGCATGCACAAAGAGCATACACAGGGCCGCCGTGTTTTTCCATGCCCTGAGCTCAAATGCTTTGTACATAAAGCTTGAATGTGTTGCCATGCACCCCCCACATACAACATTTCATAGAAATAGAAAATAATTGAAAAAGATCTCAAAACTATTTTTACATTTCCTGTCAGCCTCACTCCCTTTTTTTCTTTTTTTTTTTTTAATTTTTGAGACGTTTCCCCCGGGCTGGAGTGGTACAGTGGTGTGATCTTGGCTCATTGCAGCCTCTGCCTCCGGGATTCAAGGGATTCTTGTTCTTGAGCCTCCTGGGTGGCTGGGAGCACGGGCGCACACCACCGCTACGCCTGGCTACTTGTATTTTTAGTAGATACAGGGTTTTTCCATGTTGGCCAGGCTAGTCTGGCTCCTGGCCTCAAGGGATCCACCCGCCTCGGCCTCCCAAAATGCTGGGATTATAGGCATGAGCCACCATGCCCAGCCCGCGTTTTAATTTTTTGGAGACAGGGTCTCTGTTGCCCAGGCTGGAGTACACTGGTGTGATCACAGCTCACTGTGGCCTCAACCTTCTGGACTGAGTGATCCTCCCACCTCAGCCTCCCGAGTAGCTGGGGCCACAGGTGCATGCCACCGTGCCTGGCTAATTTTGTGTGTATTTGTTGTTAAAACAGGGTCTTCCTGTATTGCCCAGGAAGGTCTCAAACTCTGGGGCTCGAGTGATCTTCCCGCCTCGGCCTCCCACAGTGCTGGGATGACGAGGTCGGCCACCACGCCGGGCCTGGGTGCTCAACTCTTCGGTTGCACATTTGCGCTTTGCTTTATTGTGCAGTGATCGGCCGTGGCTTGTCCACTCACATTCCAGCACGTTAGGAAATGTCTTCAGAATCTCAGGTTTGAGGAACGTCGGTCATCTAGCCGGGTACTAGGGGAGGTTCTGCAGATACGTGTGCAGACTGTAGACTCACACACGTCCCAGAATTGGGCTCTGAATCTGAAAAGAGTAGTGATGAGGTTGATTTCAGAATTCCATGTGTCCCCAGGTGAAAAAGCACCTTTGGGAGGGACATTCAAGCAGCAGTTGAGTAGGCCGCCTGTGTAAGCCCAGGCTCTAGGGAAGAGCTGGCTGCTGGGAGGCACCCCTTGGAGAATGCACAGAAACTCTAGTTCTTTATCAGAGGTTCCCCAGCAACCTGCATCAGACTTTTCTGTGGGGTCACTGACCTGGGGAGACCCTGCCCGACCACTTAGTCAGGGAAGGCCTGCTGATGAGAGTCCTGTGTTCTAATCAAGTGTGAAGTTTCTTTCCTTGTTGCCTCCCAGCCTTCAGTCTCCATGCTAAAATAGTTATGTTTAAGGCCGGGCGCGGTGGCTCAAGCCTGTAATCCCAGCACTTTGGGAGGCTGAGGCGGGTGGATCACGAGGTCAAGAGATCGAGACCATCCTGGTGAACATGGTGAAACCCTGTCTCTACTAAAAATACAAAAAAGTAGCTGGGCATGGTGGTGCCGTGCCTGTAATCCCAGCTACTCAGGAGGCTGAGGCAGGAGAATCGCCTGAACCCAGGAGGCGGAGGTTGCGGTGAGCCGAGATCGCGCCATTGCACTCCAGCCTGGGTAACAAGAGCGAAACTCCGTCTCAAAAAAAAAAAAAAAAAAAGTTATGTTTATTCCAGTGTTAATTAAATACCGGGAATGCTGTCTTGCCTTCTGCCCTGGAGGAGCGTGGTCGGGATGAGGGTGGTTCTGTTGACACGTTTGTGCTGGTTGTGAATTTTCTAGGGAATGATTCCCTCCCAGCTGCAGGTGAGTGGTTTCCATGAATAGGGACAACGTAGAAATTCAAAGACCAAGCATAAGGTGCAACTTTTTTTCTTTCTTTCAAAAACTTCATTTGAGTGCAAGCAAGAGAGTGTTAAAAACAGAAAAAAACAAGCCGGGTGCAGTGGCTCACGCCTGTAATCCTAGCACTTTGGGAGGCTGAGGTGGGTGGATCACCTGAGGTCAGGAATTCGAGACCAGCCTGACCAATATGGTGAAACCCCATCTTTGAAAAAAAAAAAAAAAAAAAAAACAGAAAAAACAAAACACCTGTTTGTAACAACAGCATTGTGGTGAGCACAAATTGTCTTAATTTTGTGAAGCTGTGTATGAAATAGGACTATTGCAATTTGCTATATTCAAAATGCTAATTAAAATTCATCAAACAGGTGGGGCTTTGATGTCCAGTGCTGTTGGTGAGATAATATAAAATATGATTATGGTCAGCACCAAATGTCAGTTATGCTTGAATGTATTCATGCCACTTAAAGAGACAGATGGGCAAACTTAAATCTGGAATGAGTGGGAATCAAGAACAGTCCCAAAGGTTTGATGTCTCTGTAGATTACACATATACCCTTAAACAACACTCTTTTCAGTATTTTAACATCTGCATAAATAGAAGCACATATGCTTATTGAAGAACCAGAGAGATACAGAGTTTCAGTTTTAGGTTTTTATATATCATGTCTGCAAAAGATTCTTGTGTTGTAGTTTTGCTGTTAGAAAGAACAGCCCTGGAAAGTGAGTGTTCTCAGAATATCTTCCCCGTTATGATCAGGGAATGACTTCTGTTTGCTCATCTTGGGGACTCATCCTGCCACTGGAAAATTCAGATCTTTAGTGGTTGTGTAGTCTGTCTTCCCCTGCTCTCTTTCCAGTTTTTGCTGACAGAATTGCTGTTGAGACTGCTGATACCAGTAATTAATGATAGCCTCCTAGTTATCAGAGAGGGTAGGGTGCCTATGTAAAGATTTTAAATAATTAAAGTAAGCCGTCCTGGGCTTAACTGCAGAACCTGTCAGAATGGTTAAAGTGCCTATTCATGGGGATCGTAATCACTTTCTGATAGTTTACAAAAGGTAATAGCATAATAGTAAAGAATTATGTAATTTACAAATGTCACTTCTCCCTCGTTCTGGAGACTTCTTTTCGCAGATTGAAAGGCCTGTGCGGTTAGACCCTCTGTTGTGTTGTGCACTTAAGTCAGCCTCAGACCCCTCTGCCTTCCACTCACCACCTCTGAGGCCATTGCTTGCTCCCATGCTCTGCCAGAGGGGAAACCGTGCCACGGCCAGTCTCTCCTAGAGCCCCTCCTCATGCCTATGTAAAAATCAGCTGGTTAATGATCAAAAGGAGATTAGCACTCTGAAAAGTGCCATTAGTTTCTCCAGTGATTTCCCTAAAAGTTGCCAGTTTCTTGCCCTCTGGGGCAGACCTTAGGGAGGATGCATTGACTTCCCCACTCCTGGTCATTCTGCAGGTGAAGTGCGGCTCTGTGCTGTGCAACCCCAGAGCCCGCACCCTCCCGCCGTGCCACCCCAGAGCCCGTACCCTCCCGCCGTGCCACCCCAGAGCCCGTACCCTCCCGCCGTGCCACCCCAGAGCCCGTACCCTCCCGCCGTGCCACCCCAGAGCCCGTACCCTCCCGCCGTGCCACCCCAGAGCCCGTACCCTCCCGCCGTGCCACCCCAGAGCCCGTACCCTCCCGCCGTGCCACCCCAGAGCCTGTACCCTCCCGCCGTGCCACCCCAGAGCCCGTACCCTCCCGCCGTGCCACCCCAGAGCCCGTACCCTCCCGCTGTGCCACCCCAGAGCCTGAATCCTCCTGCTGTGCAAGTCCAGAGCCCGTACCCTCGCTCCGCATGACTCCAGAGCCCGTACCCTCCCGCCGTGCGACCCCAGAGCCTGTACCCTCCCTCCGTGCCACCCCATAGCCCATGCCCTCCCGTCGTGCCACCCCAGAGCCTGTACCCTCCCGCCGTGCCACCCCAGAGCCCGCACCCTCCCTCCTTGTGACTCCAGAGCCCCTACCCTCCCACCGTGTGACCCCAAAGCCCGCACCCTCCCGCCGTGTGACCCCAGAGCCCGCACCCTCCCGCCATGTGACTCCAGAGCCCGCACCCTCCCGCTGTGTGACTCCAGAGCCCACACACTCCCTCTTGTGTCCTGCCCACGCAGTAGCTCTACATTGATTCGCAAAACATTTTGTTCTGTGTTATTCCTTTAGGAAGCTGCAATCACACCCAACGATAAGACCCTTTTCCCTGATGTTGACTGGTTAATCGGTAACCATTCTGATGAACTCACACCGTGGATACCTGTCATCGCAGCCAGGTGAGAAGTAGAGGAGTTACCTGGTGAGTGCCTGGTGAATACTTCATCAGACCAGGGGAGCCGCTAGCTGCATGCAGGTGTCAAGCACTTGAAATGTGGGTAGTTCCAATTTTTGAAATGTTTGCATATTGCCTATATTGGGCTAAATTTAAAATAAATTCCACCTGTCTTATTTTACCCTTTAAAATACGACTACTAGGAAAATATTACTTAGAATGTTCACATTATATCTCTGTTGGCCAGCACGGATGGGAACTGTGATGACTTCTACAGTATTTATATCTGGTGTCAAAAGAAGTGTCCTTTTTGGAAGTTTTTTCCTGAAAACATGAGGATTTGCCTTCAAGGGGGAGCTCTGCCCACTGATAGCCCTCTGCAGCCACAGGTGTCCCTGCATGGGATGCTGTGTGTGTCGGAGGCAGCTGGGCCTGTGCCTGGGAGAAGCAGGTGTGTGCTGCTCGTTGCCGAGTCTCCGCCTCTCAGGTTCTGCTCAGCCATTGAAGTTCTCAAGAAGTAACTCGGTTAAAGATCAGGTCTCCCCTCGGGCTTGGCTGTGCCTCCCTCTCGCATTTCCTATTCAGAGCTGACATCTAAAGTACTTCAGGAAGTTTTAGATGACACTTGACAAGAGTAACTGTGAAAAAAAATCCTTTTCTATAAAAGTAATTAGATTCCTATTTTATTGAAAAGATACAGAAATTAAATTGGGAAGGCTGTAATTCACCTTTTAATATAAAAGCGATGTGATAACAGCCACGAAGAGGGGGAGGTCAGGTCCTCTGCAGCAGCATGGGCGCAGCTGGAGGCCAAAACCGAAGCCCAGATGCCGCGTGTTCTCTCGGCAGGAGCTACATATTGAGTGCGCGGGCACGCAGACTCGGCAGCGGCAGAGTGGGGACGGCGGGCGTGGGGAGGAGGGAGGGGGGCAAAGGTGGCAGAACCGCCTGGTGGCTACTGTGCTCACTGCTTGGGTCGTAGGGTCCATCTTACCCCAAACCTCAGCCTCATGCAGTACACCCATGCCACAAACCCACACACAGACCCCCAGAATCTCAAATAAAAGTGGTTATTGTTAATAAAACAAAAACAAAAAACGGTATTGTCCAGGAGCGTGTCTTCCCTGTTTTGTCCTGATGCGCGACTGCCCTGCGGCTTTGTGCTGTTTCCTGGACGGTTCTGCTCAGGATGCCGGGCTCTCTGTTTGTTGATTCTTTCTGAAGGTCTGCCTACAGCTGCTGCTTCTTCGTCCTGCCCTGCTGCTTCTTTGACTTTGTTGGAAAATACCCCCGGAGGCAGAGTAAGAAGACGCAGTACCGGGAGTACCTTGACTTCATTAAGGAAGTGGGCTCCACCTGTGGGTTCCACGTGGAGGAAGACTGCCTCAGGATCCCTTCAACCAAAAGAGTACGTTCAGTTCTTCTTGTTCTTGGTGATGTGCCGCTGTCCAGATGGGGAGCTCAGGGCTCTGTCACACAGCCATGAACCGCGCTGTGACATTCAAAATGTACAAATGTTCCAGAACGTGCTGGTGCTGATCTCTGTGTCTCGCTCACTGACGGGCCCAGAGGCTTGTTCTGTCCCATGGCGCGCTCCCTGAAGGCATGCCAGTGTTCCCTCCTCCAGGCCTGCGGGGCCCTGGCCCAGCCTTCCGTGCCTCTCCAGAAGCTCTGAGCGGCCCAGGGGCCTCGGCGTGGGTGCCAGTGCCTTCTTGCCTCAGCGCTGCCTATGGCTGAGCTCCCTGTGGAAAGTTTCCACTCCTTCAAGTGCCAAATAATTGGCCGCGATCGCAGTGTGTTTCAGAAGCTCACTGTGATTCCCACGTTCTCATTGAAAGCCTGCTTAATCCAGATTTACCTGAAATGTCATCTGGGCAGAAGTTGGTCCCGGGACTTTCTGTGAGACAGTGCGGCTGTGTCTCTGACCTTCGTGTGCTCGGGGACTGATTCCCTCTGGCCACTCTGAGGGCTTGACCTTCTTAAAGCACCATGGAGGCGTTTCCAGCAGCCGCTCGCCTCCTCCTCTGGTAACTTTATTTGACAAGACTTTGTGGCTGGTAGACAGTGTGCTTTTAGGAAATAACCCTGTTGTGTCCAGGCCACAGAGTTTGATGGCTGCCTTAGCAAGAAGGGGCCCAGCTGACCTGAGCAAGGCGTCGGCCCTGCCACTGCCTGCGGTGCACTCGGGCTGATGGCGGGGCTCTGCGAGCCTGTCCTCGCGTGTGGGACCGAGAGGAGCCTGCCTGGGCTGTGGGGGCTAGACGGGATGATGTCTTCAGAGCCCGCACGGGGAGGGCATGTCGTGGGCACTTGCCGGCCGGCTGCGGTCACAGCCGTGCGCCAGGAACAGCGTTGGCTGGTGGCACAGGCCTCACGGCCACTGGCGCTGTCACTGCCTGCTACCGTGGGAAGCTGCCTTAGGACTTGCTGCCGAGCTGTCCCGTCACCTCTCAGTGTCCTCTATTTTGGCAAGTCTTGGTCTTCTGAGGTCAGCTTTGATTTGGGGAAACTGCTGAATTGTGCGTCCTCCAGGCAGGTCTGAGGAGCCAGTGGCTCTGATGCCTGCACTTGCTGCCCGTGACCGGCTGTCAGAGACCCGCACTGTCGCCTCATCTCAGCCTCAGTTGTCTTGTAGGTTTGGGGATTGAGTGGATGTGAACGGGCTTTGTCATTTTTAAAGCATTTCAAACACAGCAGATGTCTGGGGGGGACTGGGTGTGTGACCGGCATTGAAAATTTAAAATCTGCCGGAAGAGCTGCGGAGCAGAGGAGTGGCTGTCACGCAGTGCGGAGGTCGGCTTCCTCATCGCCTGCGCCTGGCCTTGTAGTTGATGCCTGGAGAGGAAGCCCAGACGTGAGGGCCTGGTTCTCTGGAGGAGCCTGTCTGAAGAGCACCCTGCCTCGGGTGTACCACGGGGGAAGGAGGGCAGCATGCCTGGAGCGCCCCTGGGTTTCCCTGCCCCCTGCTCAGGCCCCTGTGCACGTGCCGGCTCCCTTCCTGGCGCCTCAGCCTGTGCTCCTGGGCGGGGTGGCACCAGGAAGCCGTTAGGGCACTGTGGCTGCTGGCCCAGGAGAGTGGCCTCTGAGCTTAGGCGCCTTTGTTAGATCTTGTGACGGTCCGAGTGATGAGAGGGACCATGGGTTTGTACTGTATTTCTCATTGTTAAGTCACGTACGTTGGTGTCAGTTTTTATTTTTTACTTCCTTTTCATTTTTTGAGGCAGAGTTTTCTCTCGTCACCCAGGCTGGAGTACAGTGCACAGTCCTGGCTCACTGCAACCTCTGCCACCCGGGTTCAAGTGATTCTCTTGCCTCAGCCTCCCGAGTCGCTGGGATGACAGGCACCTGCCACCACACCTGGCTCATTTTTGTATTTTTAGTAGAGACGGGGTTTCGCCATGTTGGCCAGGCTGGTCACAAACTCCTGACCTCAAGTGATCCACCCACCTTGGTCTCCCAAAGTGCTGGGATTACAGGTGTCCGCCACCGCACCGGCTGGTGTCAGTTTTTAAAATCAGGATTTTTTCATGATGGACATATAAAAGTCGCATGTGATTTGTACTCCAGGATGAGAGAATTCCATGGACAGCGCTGAAGGAGACGAGCCAGCTAAAATACTTGCTTTGCTCTTTTCAAACGCAGGTCTGTCTCGTTGGGAAATCCAGAACATACCCTCCCTCCAGAGAAGCTTCCGTGGATGAGAAGAGGACTCAGTACATTAACAGCAGGCGGGGCCGCCCTGTAAGCCCACCTGGCCCAGGGCTTTCCCCTTCTCCACCCCAGGTCGCTTTCAGCAGCACTGGTCACTGTGACGGGCACCAAGCTCTGGACGCCAGGGTTGGGTGTGTACCTGGGGCCCGGGCCGGAGGACCCTGGCTATCTGGATTTCATCCCAGAGAAAAGGCTGAGCGTGTGAGGAACTGTGCTGCCCTCCCTCGAGACTTTATTGACCAAGTGGTTTTGCAAGTGGCGAATTTATTATTAGGTGGAAAGCAATCTAACACAAGAAGTTCTCGAAATGAGAGTGTGAAGACCTGGAATCGGGGAGGTAAGCCGTCCACCACCTTAGAGACACCTGGAATGGGGGAGGGAAGCCATGTACCACCTTAAAGACACCTGGAATGGGGGAGGGAAGCCATGTACCACCTTAAAGACACCTGGAATGGGGGAGGGAAGCCATGTACCACCTTAGAGACACCTGGAATGGGGGAGGGAAGCCATGTACCACCTTAGAGACACCTGGAATGGGGGAGGGAATCCATGTACCACCTTAGAGGCACCTGGAATGGGGGAGGGAAGCCGTCTACCACCTTAGAGGCACCTGGAATCGGGGAGGGAAGCCGTCCATCACCTTAGAGACACCTGGAATCGGAGAGGGAAGCCATCCACCACCTTAGGGGCACCTGGAATGGGGGAGGGAAGCCATGTACCACCTTAGAGACACCTGGAATGGGGGAGGGAAGCCATGTACCACCTTAGAGACACCTGGAATGGGGGAGGGAAGCCATGTACCACCTTAGAGACACCTGGAATGGGGGAGGGAAGCCATGTACCACCTTAGAGACACCTGGAATGGGGGAGGGAAGCCATGTACCACCTTAGAGGCACCTGGAATGGGGGAGGGAAGCCATGTACCACCTTAGAGACACCTGGAATGGGGGAGGGAAGCCGTCCACCACCTTAGGGGCCAGCACGCTCCAAGGCTTGAGGGCAGGAACCCACTTCTTCATAACCGAGTGGAATGGCGTGGTCCTGTGACCGCACACGCTTTGTCGTTGATGATGAATATGCTGGCTTCAAGCACATTCTTTAACATTTTCCCAATAGCTCCTATAAATATAAAGGACTTTGTTATCTCCAGGGAGGAAGGCTGAGGCCAGGCTATGGAGTGACGGAGTTTGGACCCTTAGTTAACTTATAAAACATGCAGGTTTAGGGGCTGGAACTACTCATTTTCAATCTACAATTATCCAAAGAGAAAACAGGTTACTGAGTACAAGAAAAATGCACTGTTCCCTTGAGTATGTGGCGAGATTTGGAGATGTTGTAATTGGATAATTTAATTCTCTTTGAAATCCCCAAAACAAAAAAGTCGTAAAGGAGAAAATTCCATGAGTTGTCCTCCTGGGGTGAGTGGTATATTGAAATGAACCGTGTTCCGAGAGCCTGGCTGTAGGGGCCTCGCCTCCTTCCGCGCAGGGAGGCTGCGTGGCCACCAGAGGGCGGTGTGGGGCTGGAGCCAGAGTCTGGCTTCTCTTGCCGTTTTGGGAGCTGGAGAGGATCAGGGAGCCCCATCCCCTCCAGGCCCTTTCCCGGCCCAGCTGGCCCGGCCCCTCCTGGCTGGACTCCTGCCTGGCGGCCTGTTTGAGGGAACCCTTCCTCTCCAGGCCTTGCTCTCCTCACCTGGGAATGTTGGGGCAAAATCATGCTGGTTTTCTTCTTTATCCTTCATCCTCTGGCACCTTGCGTATGTGGGCCGGGCCGGGCCATCGGGCACAGACGCCCCTCCAGAGATCACTGGAGCCTGATGGCGCCTGGTCGGCAGAGCCTCTAGCCACCTGGTGCGAGTGGCCCTGGCTCAGTGGCTGATGGGGCCGAGTAACTGCTTGCAAACCACCAGGCACCATGGGGTCTCTGGGTTGGCTCTGCTGACTAGATGTGCCCTGCTGTGGCAGGGCCGGAGGGCCGAGGGAGAAGGCGGAGGCTGGCAGAACATGGAGCCCGCCACAGGCAGCTGGGCCCGGAGCCCGCGGGACATCAGTGTGGTCTGAAGGTTCCCATGTGCAGTCAACAGTGACAGTTCCTGAGTGTAGTTTGACCTTTCAATTCCCAGGAAATGATGTGCGCACAGATGTCGGCTGTGCCTGGGGTGGACAGCCTTGCGGTGGGTGAGCAGGAGCGAGGAAGCAGTACTGCGGGTGGAGAGTGGGGGTGGCTGAGTGCTGCCTGCCCCTGGGAACCAGGGTGCCTAACAGGCCGCAGACCCCCGTCCCCTCCAGATTGCTGTCTGTGGGTCTGGGGCCTGTTAGGGGCACTCCATGTGGCCCTGCTGTGAGAAGGGAGGAGCTGTGCCCTTGGCCTCTCAGCCCACGGCTCCCTCCCACCCACAGGTGGCCTTCAGGGCCTTTGGTGGCCCCCCACCCAACCTGCCCTCTGCATGTCTGTGCCTATGGGCCGTGTGTGGGTCTTTCTCCAGGGCCTCACCCATCCTAGCTGGGCGTCTGCCCCTGTGGGATGTTGCTGAGAAACGGGGTGGAAGGGATCTCCAGGACCTCACCCATCGTAGCTCAGTGTCTGCCCCTGAGGGATGTTGCTGAGAAACGGGGTGAGAAGGGGTCTCCAGGACCTCACCCATCCTAGCTCGGCCTCTGCCCCTGAGGGATGTTGCTGAGGAACGGGGTGGAAGGGGCTCTGCCCTCAAGAGGCTCCGGGTCCTGCCCTGCTAGGAGTCAAGACTGCACATGTCAAAGGATGAGTAACCAAGAGGTCAGACGTGCCAGGCCCAGAGGCCCCACAGCTGCACCCATGGCTGCAAGTGTGAGAATCCCCATTATGGAGTCCGTGGGGGCCCAGAGCTGGGGGGACAGAAGGCTGACTAGGACGATACATCATCTTTTTTAAAGCACCCCATTCTTGAGAATGGATTTGAGGCAGCTGAGAGGTGGACTCAGAGGTTGACCGGGCTGGGATAGGCAGGATTCTCGCAGCAGCTGCGACAGTGGCTGTCCTTGGCCAGCGCTGTGATGCCCAGATCTGTGGTGTGTGCAGGCAGGCGCCATCTCCTCCGCTCCCCTGCAGTTTGGGAGGGTGCGGGTTAGACGTGAAGTGCAGCGCCTGGCAGGCAGGAAGTTCCTGGCAAATACAGGTGGGCAAACCAGCTTTCACTCATATCCGATTTGAGGTTTTGGTAATAAATGACTTTATTGTCACTAGGTTTTCTGATTAGAGCATTTTGAAATACATGCAGGCTCTCAAAGCAGAAATTCTAAATGGGAAAGAGACCATCACTGTGGTGTCTGCTAGTTCCTTGTTTTTTTTTTTTTTTTAAAAAGATGGGGTTTCACCGTGTTGATCAGGCTGGTCTTGAACTTCCAACCTCAAGTGACCCGCCTGCCTTGGCCTCCAAAGTGCTTGGATTACAGGCGTGAGCCACCACGCCTGGCCTGCAATTTCCTTTTCTTATCGCCTAGCATGGCCTTGCTGACTGCTGGCTGCTCTAGAGCCGTCGTGCCAGGCCTGCTGCCACAGGCTTAGAGCAGCCACTGGGAAAGTCCTGGCCCCAGGCCTGCCAGCTTGGCCTTCCTCCTTTAGTCTGAGAAACCCTGGCTCCAAGCAGCCATCCCCTTTTGTGGGTCACCAGTGAAAAGGGCTCGGTGACCACCCAGAGCAGGCAGCATCACCTGATGCCTGGCCATGTGTGGGCACGGGGCATGTGGGGCTGTACCCCGTGAGGCTGCACTGCCTCAGACACAGCGGCCCTCACAGTTTGGCTGGGGTGTGGTGTGGGTCAGGTATGGTGTGAAGTAGGTGTGGTGTAGGTCAGGTGTGGTGTGGGTCCGGTGTGTGGGTCACGTGTGGTGTGGGTCACGTGTGTGGGTCAGGTGTGGTGTGGGTCACCTGTGGTATGGGTCAAGTGTGGTGTGGGTCCGGTGTGGTGTGGGTCAGGTGTGTGGGTCATGTGTGGTGTGGGTCACCTGTGGTGTGGGTCAGGTGTGGTGTGGGTCCAGTGTGGTATGGGTCAGGTGTGTGGGTCATGTGTGGTGTGGGTCACCTGTGGTGTGGGTCACCTGTGGTGTGGGTCAGGTGAGATGGAATTAAATTACGTGGTCCTTTGTGCTGGAGTGCACAGGGCGTGGGAGCGTGTGGAGCGGAAGTGGACTGTTGCCGCCTGTGTGACAGGTGTGTAATATTTTGTGTCGTTTTGGGGAAACCCTGTTTTCCGCAGAGAGCCTTTCCCTGGCAGAGGTCGCGAGTGCGCTGGACGCGGAGACGCTGCGGCGACTGAAGCGGGAGTGTGGGGGGCTGCAGACGCTGCTCCGGAACAGCCACCAGGTGTTCCGAGGTACGGGCCGCCTCCCCGCCTTTCTCTTTCCTTCCTTGCTCCCTTCTTTCAGGTAAAAACGCTTTATTTGAGTGGTTTCGACTCGAAGAAGAATCTGGGAGAGGCCCCGAGTTCCGCGGTGCCCCGCCCAGCTCTGGCGTGGGTAGCATTTGACCTCGGGGTGGGACGTGGGTCACCCCGTCCCCTCCTCGCCTCTGGACCTTGTCCTGTGACACCTCCCAGGCCGGTCTCCCTCCTACTTGGCTGTGCTTGCTGGCGCCTCAGCTCCGCCTGCTCCACACGGGACAGAGCAAGTCAGGCAGCCGCGGCCGGGCCCTCCTGTCACCGGGACCTCTGGGGCCACTGGCGTCATCTGTAGCTGCTGCCCACCGGAAGCATCCAGAGCCGCAGAGCCAGGCTGGGGAGTGGGAAGAGCGAGCCCCTGCCCCACAGGCGGAGGCCTGGACTCCCGTGGCCCTCGCCCCACGGGCCCGGGCAGGGGACAGGTCCTGGCGCCCAGCCCTCCTGCTGCGCGACGCCGTGACTCCAGGACTGCCGGGGCTTGGGGAGGCCGGAGGGCCCTCCGCCTTCTGTCCATTGGCTCAGCCCACAAAGCAAGGCGCACACAGCCCTCTCCTGCTGGAGCCGGCGGGGCAGTGAGGGCGAGGGGAGCGTGGCAGTTTCCGCCCGGTGCCGGGTGTGCAGTTCCACCCGCTGCAGCTTCCGAGTGTGCGCAGAGCGGGGGACAGGCGGGCGGGGGACAGGCGGGCGGGGGACAGGCGGGGAGCCGCACCTGACCCGCGCCAGCGGCTGGGGAGTTGGCCGTAGCTTGCTTTGTGGAGTTTTCTTCCTCGTTCTGTAAGTATTTTAAAACAAATTCCAGCTATGGGGCTCGTTCACCCCAAGTACTTCCACTCGCATCTTTAAAAATAGTAGGCGTTCTCTCACCTCACCGCCATGCCCTCCGCACACATTTCTGCCAGGCGCGACGTGCAGGGAGAACTGGCCTGGCTCCAGAGGGCTTAATCCGGAAATGACACTTGCGCTGGGCCTGGAAGGAATAGAGGAGCCAGGAACAGGGAACGGCTTTTAGGCAGAGGGAACAGCATGTGCGAAGGTTGCGTGGAGTAAGAGTGGGAGCTGGTGGGGCTACAGGCTGCCATGACCAGGAGAAGGACTCGCTCTCTGACTGGTGGGGAGGGATGATACCGAAGTCACAGTGAGGAGTGGCCTGGCTCACACCCTAGCTTCTGGGTTCCCTGCCCATGAGTCACTCGGGCTGCCGTGGGGGTCGGGTGAGGGCAGCACCTGGCTGTGTGTGTGAGAGAGCACAGGTGTATGTGCCATGCCTGATGTGTACACGAGAGCAAGGGTGTGAGTTTGTGCACACCCACACACAGCCTTTGGGTGGCTTGCTCTTGGAGAGCTGTGCTTGGCTCTCAGCAGGAACCGGCCTCTCCTGGTGAGAGCTGCTGTTGGGGGGCCCGTAGGCATGGTTGGAGCCTCTGTTTCCTGGGCAGGCGCAGAAGCGCGTCCCTGAGGCTGCCTCCGGAGCCGACGCGGGGCCTGCCGTGCCGGCTGGGCTGGGCCTGCAGCCTGGGGTCTGCTCTTCCTTGCACAGGGCTTTAAGCGGCTAGAATCCTTCCCCCCTCTGAGGGGCCTCTCTGTTTTTCCCAGCACTTGTTTTTGGTTGATGGCCTGAAATACTGTCTTCTTCCCCCGCCATGAAGCTGCTCATCTGTCAGTGCTTTTCTGTGCAGAAAAATAGGGGCGCACTGATTTTTGGAAGCACTTCTGAGTAGGCGTCCTGGGGATTGTTCTGAGTAAACATTGTCCTCCAGTCATGTGAAAACTGTGCTGTGAAGCTGGGTCTCATCGCTGCATGAGATTCGGGTTTTGTTTTCAGCTCACGTGGCTAGTCTCAGGAAATGCTGATGAGAGTGAGGAAGTGGAAACGTTTTCAGATGGTTTCAGGTCAGCCGGCCCTGAGTACGACCTGTGAGGGCCACGAGGGCCAGCCCTGCCTCTGCCCCGCCCCTCCCGTCCATACTGGCTGGCGTGGAGCTTGGCACCGTGCTGCTGGATACACGCGGGGCCTCATGTCATCCTGCGCTGGGGTGGAGCAGGCCTTCCTCCTGGAACATGCGGACATGGCTCAGAGAGGTCCGTGTGCGGCCCACCGTCTCCCAGTGAGTGGAGAGGCCGTGCCGACCGCCAGGCCAGGTCGCACCCAACAGGCCACTGAGCCTGCAGCAGCATCCGAGGACTTTGATCCTCAGATCAGAGGTCACCCTGCAGGTCACCCGTTCCTCAGAGCAACTTGGTGAAGGGAGTGTCTGCTATTGAGAAGCAGTGTCGGAGTGGCGGTTCCTGTGCTGTTAGAGTCCCAGGGAACAGGCACAGTAGGGAGGGAAGAGGTGGCGGGAATTTGGGACGAGCTTACTGTGGCTCTGTGGCTCGCAATGAGGAGCACGTTTCCATAGGGAGGGTCTGTCGGTTGGTGGTCTTTCTAGCTGGCTGGAGCGAGTGCTTCTGGAGGGCTGTCCCGTCTGGCGCCTGGCCAGCTACCTGCCATGTCCAGGGGTAGACAAGGCAGCGGGTCAGCACGGCTGAGCCAGCCTGGAGCTGGCCTCCACGACACCTGCAGCCCCATCTCTGTCGTCAGTGCTCGCTCCTCAGCCTAGAGACCTGCAGGTCCTGCTTCCAAAATGTGGCCGGGTGTGGTCTGAAATCTGCCTGAGGGGCCTGCCGCCAGCTGGCCGGTTGTGTTGCGCGGGGGAAGGGGAGGCCCCAGCTGGCTCTGAGGGTGGGAATCTGCACTGCAGCCTTTGGCCTCAGTGAGCCCCGCCCCCATTCTCCTGACAGGTCAGGGCGTCAGGCAGAGGCCCCTCACTGTTTGGCATCGTGTGCCCCCTGGGGAGTCGGGGTAAGCTCTGGCCCTGCGGCTCCTCCTGAACACCCTTCAGGGGGTTCCAGGTCCCTCAGTGGCCATGACGTGCCCCTTCTGTGCTGTGCCAGGAGGTGCTGCTGTGGCAACATCAGCAGAGGTCGTGGGGCGGCCTTAACCGGAGCCTTCAGGTTTAGAAACCTCAGCTCTGACGTTGGGAGGCACAACAGAGAGGCAGCCGTGGGAGGGCACACGGGGTCAGCCTCGCCTCGGCGGTGCGCCCAGCCAGGCTGTGGGGGCGAGCCCCCCACGGCGTCCCCAGACACAGCCAGGCGCCGCTCTCTGGGCTCATTTCTCTAGTTTCAGGGAGAAACTATTTTTAAAACATCAGTCTGTCAAAAGCAAACAGCCTCGTTACTGCCACACACAAGGTGATTTGAAAGCAGAAGTCACGCTTTGATTCCTACACTTTCAAGTTCTTGTTGGAAGTCGGAGAGCCAGACCTCCTCACTGAGGCGCCTTTATTCGCCCGAGCCTCCTGTCGCGAGCAGTTTCCTAGCTTCCAGCGAGAGCCAGGAAGGGGGTGGTTGCTTTGGCCACATTTCACGGGAGTTGTTGGCTTCTCAGAAAGAAACGGCCAAGTGGGAGTGTAGGGGGAATCTCGGCCCGATTTGGGCGGTGGGGTCACGAGGCGGCCTGAGGGTGGCCCTCGAGGCCTGGCACCCTGCTGACAAGCGGGCCCACAGCAGCCCCCTCCTGGCCCCACCCCACTCTGATGTCCCTCCAGCTCCCCAGTTTGGAGATCAGCCCTGGCCATCGGGTCCCAGTGGCATTTCCAGAGGGGGTATCTAAAGTACTGGGCACAGGCGGGTCCCTCCTCCTCTTCCTGTTCCAGAGCTCCTTGGCCTCCCCTGACTCCACACTTGCATCTGGAGGGGTTCCAGTTGGAGACACATGTAAACCCAGTGCACCGGGACGGCACCAAGGAGAGAGGCCGCCCTGCACCTCCCAGACTGCGGGAAAGACCGCACCTCACCCCGCTTCTGTCTGTGATTGCTGAGACAGTCCGCAGAGGCCGGGGCTGCACACACAGCGTTTTCTCGTGTTCCAGCTCTCACATACTGGTCCCTCCTTCCTCCACTCCAGTGATCCTTCTCAAATGGTGGCTCTGCAGGACCTGCCACTCAGCAAGAGGGAAGGTCATGGCCTCAATGATGAGGTCACATGGGACCCAGCTCTGTCCTCCGCCCTCCCCTCTGGCGGGCCGTTGAACAGGGCCAATCCCGGTGCAGTCTGTGCTGGGACACTCAGCTTTGCTGCTGCTCAGCCTAAAGTCTCTTCCTGGGTCTGCGCAGGGCCGCCGCTCACCTCGGCAGGGCTCCCCTTCCCTGGCCCTGCCTGTAGACGAACCCGTACCTCAGTCACTCCCACTGGAGGCAGACCCACTGTGACCAGCAGGAACTCTGGGCTCTGTCCCGGCTGTATCCCTGCCCCTGGGCTGGCACCTCGTATGGAGTGGGAGCTAGTCAGATGCTGGTGAGTTAAGGAACTTTCAGGTTAAGCTCTCAGTGTGTCTCTTCTCTGTTCCAAACCACAGTTGTGAATGGGCGAGTTCACATCCGTGACTGGAGAGAGGAGACGCCGCGGAAGACAAAGCCACCAGAAGCGAAGCGGAGACTGCCCTCGGAAGCCCACAAAACCCGCCTCTGCTGGTTCTTCACGCATCACCCTGACGGCTGTGCCCTGTCTGCGGACTGCTGCCCATTTGCCCACGGGCCTGCCGAGTTGCAGGCTGTCCCGGACCCCGAGGAAGAAGATTCCGTGAGCTGCGTCCGTCGTCAGGGAGGCCACACCAGGGAGAACTCACCAGCCGTCCTCAGCGCCGCTGCCTCTGCACTGGCTGGGTTTCCGTCCGCCGCCTCCACCTTCTCCAGACCCTCACGTGATGCACCGTATTTCATAGACGTCACACCAGGGGAGCCAGGTGCTCAGAAGCCCGCAGCTGGGTGCCTGGCTTGGTTCAGATGCAGCCACTTTAAACGTGCACAGCATCTTCATATCACAAAGATCGTGCACAGATTCTTACAGTGTCTCTTGGGGGGAAAGCAGCTGGGGACACTTGCACAGGCCCCTCCCAGGGCACTGTCCCAACGCCTGCCCCACCACGTCCAGGTCTGTGAAGAGGATGTGGCTCCCTGAGAAGTGTGACCGTGTCCGCCAGCACTTCTCACCACGCTGGAGAGCAGCCGCTCCGGAGGGGCCACCACACTGGCGTTTTGAAAATAGGGCTGGCCCTGCTGAGGTTGTCTTTAGACTCACAGAGAATAAAACAAAGCACCCATCATTTCCTCACACGGGTCACTCTTAGTGGCATGAAAAACATCTTAAGTGAATTGTCAACAAGGCTTTAAAAATGTAAATATGGGCCGGGCGCGGTGGCTCAAGCCTGTAATCCCAGCACTTTGGGAGGCCGAGGCGGGTGGATCACGAGGTCAAGAGATCGAGACCATCCTGGTGAACATGGTGAAACCCCGTCTCTACTAAAAATACAAAAAATTAGCTGGGCATGGTGTCGCGTGCCTGTAATCCCAGCTACTCAGGAGGCTGAGGCAGGAGAATTGCCTGAACCCAGGAGGCGGAGGTTGTGGCGAGCCGAGATCGCGCCATTGCACTCCAGCCTGGGTAACAAGAGCGAAACTCCGTCTCAAAAAAAAAAAAAAAAAAAAAAAAATGTAAATATGACAGATCATAGAACAGATCACAGAAAGGTAAGACTGCAGCTTCCTCCCACCTCCACGGGACCTTCCTCCCCACAAATACTGCAGCAGTTCTTCTGAGTCCTTCTAGAAAAAAAATCCTAATTTGTTTCTCTTTTATTTTCATTAAGAGATAGGGTCTTCATCCCTCGCCCAGGCTGGAGTGCAGTGGCACGATCATAGCTCAGTGCAGCTTCCAACTCCTGGGCTCAAGCCACCCTTCTGCCTCAGCCTGTCAAGTAGCCGGGGCCATAGATGCACACCACCATGCCTGGCCAACTTTGAAAATGTTGGAGGTGGTGTCTCTTTGTGCTGCCAGTTCAAGGTTGGCCTTGAACTCCTGGGCTGGAACAGGCCTCTCATCTCAGCCTCCTGTAGAGCTGGCATTCCAGCCGTGAGCCATGGTGTCCAGCCCCTGATGTTTCTGATCAAAGTTACTCCTGTAGTTTTTTTTTTTTTTTTTTTTTTTGAGACAGAGTTTCGCTCTTGTTACCCAGGCTGGAGTGCAATGGCGCGATCTCGGCTCACCGCAACCTCCACCTCCTGGGTTCAGGCAATTCTCCTGCCTCAGCCTCCTGAGTAGCTGGGATTACAGTCATGTGCCCCATGCCCAGCTAATTTTTTATATTTTTAGAGACGGGTTTTCACCATGTTGACCAGGATGGTCTCGATCTCTTGACCTCGTGATCCACCCACCTCGGCCTCCCAAAGTGCTGGGATTACAGGCTTGAGCCACCGCGCCCGGCCACTCCTGTGGTTTTTTACAAAAAGTCATATGCAGCCCACACTGTTGTGCTCTTGACTCTGCAGGGCGTCCCCTGTGCCTCTCGGTTGGACGCCTCTGCCTGGTTATTTGCAGCAGCCTGTGGCATTCCGTGGCAGCGCTGTTCTCATCATTTCTGAGCAGTGATAAACAGGCACCTGCTCTGAAGGCACCTTGGCTCTGCGGCACCACTGGGCAGTGCTGCCATGGGCCCAGTCAGTCCCAGATCCCAGAGCCCAGGCTAGGGATGTGCCAGGAGGTGCCTTCATCTTACCCAGGAAGGGTCCGCCCTTCATCTTACTGGGAGACGGGCAGTCCGTGGCCCCCTGGGGCAGTCCCCAGTTGGTTGAGCAGCTGCAGCTCTGACTGGTTGAGGCACAAGGGGGCTCTGCTGGGGCCTCTGGGGTCCCCCCTACTGGGAAGTGCTCCCTGCAGGGGACACCCGAGGGAGCAGCCCGGAGCTCAGTACCGAGGGTGGTGGAGCAGGGAGATGGGAAGAACTCTCTTCCCAAAGATGAGTCTGGGTCGAGGGAGCCACAGAGCGGTGTCCCTCCCCCCAGCCGCTGTGTTAGCCAGAGGAGCCGTCCTCTTGCCAGGCTGTGCCACAGCGTTGAGGTTTCGCTGCTCAGCACATCCAGGTTGATGCACTTCAGGACAAGTCACCTGATGCCCCCAGCCCTGCATTATTGCCAGAGCTCTCCCTGCAGCAGGAAGGGCTGAGCCCAACCTCAGAGGGGCTTGGGGCGACATCAAGGAAAGGCAGAGCAGGGAGTGCAGGGAGCCCGGCCCTGAGGAGCCGCCCTGCCGCTGCCTCTGTCTGGAAGGGGTGCACTTCCTGAGCTGAGCCCAGGACCCCACCCGAGCCTTGGGCAGCTGCCCAAGGTACCCCGTGCCAGGTGTGCAGCCTCTGCCAGGCCCAGGATAGCTCCACGTGGCTGGACCCCCACTCCCTCCCCCTCCCCAGGCCTCTCCCAAGTCCAGGGCACTTGCTTTAGTTTTCCAGTGTAGGGAGACGGGGCAGTGGCCGTAGAGCCTGGTTCTGTGCTCGGTGCTGCTGGACTCCAAACCTGGCTCTGGAGCTGAGTCCTGGTGAGGGCAGGTGACCCTGGGGAGGATGAGCTCCCCAGCACGCCTCAAGGACACAGTCACACACCCAGAGGACACAATCTCAAAGGAGCATCACATGGGGCTGGGGGCGTGTGGGGTGACCTCAGCTCTCCCTTGTGGGATCCTGCCTGGCCAAAAGCTCTACTGAGTGGGGCCCACCGTGCCCGTAGACCCCTCCGTGCCACCCTGGCATCACGTGGCAGAAGCAGTCTTTGGTGAGCACATCACCTGACCTGACTTCTGGGTTCCAGGTACCATTTCTTACTGCCCCCCCTGGCACCACTGTGCCCTGTCCACTGGTCATGTGACTGGGTGTCAGGCACAATCCCCTTGCAGCAATAAACAATGCATCTGTAGTCGAAGGTGGGCAGATAAGAGGCCTGGTGGGGGGCGCAGATCTGGCAGCCTGGTGTGGCCAGCCCAGAGGGCTTCCTGGTGACTCCTTGGAGCTTGAGCATCTCCCCTGGCCAGGTGAGATCGAGGGAATGCCACGAAGGTGGGCATGAGGGGAAATCTCACCAGGGCCACAGTGCATCTGCACTGCCTGTCCAGATAGGTTCCAGGCAGGCACCAGGTCTCACCGGCTGACGGGCAGCCTCTGTCCCCAGGCGCCCCGGCTTGCCCCACCTGCTGCAGAGGAGGCCCTCTGGCGAGCCTTGTGGTCTTGGGGCCTGCATGCACCCTTGGGGAGTTACCATGGTGACTGGTGCTGGGGTTCAGACCCCAGGTCCCACAGGCCTTGGCTTATGGCATGGCCAAGCCCTGGGGTCTGTCGGGGTTGTCAGGGCAGGCTTCCTGGAGGAGGGGCTGAGGTTGTGCATTTTCCCTCTCATCCTGCCGCTAGGGCTACTCTCGAGGGCCACAACTGTCACAGCACGAGGAATCCAGACCTCAACAGAAGAGCCTGGTGTGGACGAGAGTCCCAGGGGAGAGGCAGAGACCTCTGCTGACTTGCCCCCAGCTCATTTCTGTGTGACCCTCCCTTGGTGGTGTTTTTTGCTCAGAAGACTGTGTTGTGGACCTTCACAGTTCTGGGAAAAGTCCGGTCACGTGTCACTGGACGGTGCAGATGCGTTGAGAAACTCATGGTGATGTGATTTTGCCATCCTACGTCAGAGTGTGCCCCGTGCTCCCAAAAGACAGTCTGCTCCACACCCAGGCTCCTGGACCACGTGCCTCACGGCACGCTGCTGTGCTGAATGCTGTAGGCGCTGTCAGGAGATGGTAAGTGTCTGTGTATCCAAACGTAGAAAAGGTACGGTGAAAATAGGGTGTAAAAGATAAAGCATGCTTCGGCTTTGGAGGGCACTCACCCTGGGCGGAGCCTGTGGACTAGCCGGGGCTGTAGGTATCGGGGAGGGAGTGGGGGTGCACGGAACCCTGCTGCAGGCTTGATGAACAGCACACCTAGGCCACACTCCATTTATTTAAAACAAAATTTTCTCAGTGACACAACCTGAGCATCAATTTGTAACTTTTTAATTTTATGAACTTTAAAAGCATTTTTGACTCTTTTGTAACAACACTAGCCTTAAAACACAAACACATTGTACAGCTACACAAAAATATTTTTCCTTGTTTTTTTTTTTTTTTAATTTTGTGTTTTTGAGATGGGGTCTTGGTGTATCGCCCAGGCTGCAGTGCAGTGACACCATGTGGGCTCATTGTAGCCTCCACCTCCTGGGCGCAAATTGATTTCCCACCTCAGCCCCGCAAGTAGCTGGGATCACTGGCATGCACCACCACATGCTGCCTAGGCTGGTCTCGAACTCCTAGACTCAAGCGAGCCTATTACAGGGAGTAGCGAATATCTGAGTTGCCAGTGGCAAATCCACATGGGTCTGCAGCAACCTTAACTTGCCTCCTTGGAAGAAATAATTGAACTGAGGTGAACTGAGGGGGGTGAGACAGAAAAAGGAGCCCCAGGCAAGTTTCAGAGCCAGAGTGGAAGTTTATAAAAAAACTTTAGAGCAGGAAAGAAAAGAAAGTACATGTTAAAACCTGCGCTCTGAATGAAGAGACCCCCCCTAAACAGGCTTTGTGTGAGCAACATGGCTGTTTACTCACCCGGGTGCAGGCGGGCTGAGTCTGAAAAGGGAGTCCGCGGAGGGCAGTGGGATAGGAGTTGGTTTTATAGGTTTGGGGTGGGCAGTGGAAAGTTACAGAAGTTACAGTTTAGGGTGGTTTTTTCAAGCTAGGAGGGGTGGTCACAGGGTCTGGAGTCACAAGGTCGACCAGGGTTGGTTACAAAGTCCAATTGCCTTATCAGTTGAGGTGGGAGTAGGGAACCACAGAGTCATTTCTTCTCCTTTTGTGGTTTTCCAGTGACTTCAGCCTTTCTAGTTCCGGGAGACCATCCAGAGGTGTACGTGCAGGTCACAGGGGTCGCCATGGCGTCCTTGGCACCGTCAGTCAGCCTGAAAGACCTTACAGTACACTTGGAAGAGACTCAAGCAGGCACTTTGGAGGTCAAGGGCAGCATTTGACCTTTTGACTTGGGGTTTTACATGCTGGCATGCTTCCAGGTGTTTTGTGTCCCTTTTCCCGACTCTTTCCTCAGGGCGGGCTGCCTGCATGCTTGACGCCCTCCTCGCACTTGGGACGTGAGCATCTGCAGTGCAGGGCGCTTAACAAGTTGTGCGTCTGTTCACCTGCGGCTTCTTCCCTTGTCCGGTGGGATGCCCCCAGGAGGCCACGCTCTGCCATTTTATCTCTCAAGGCG